CATGCTGTTCCCTGCAGTATTTCTCTGTCATGATGCCCAAACTGTGGAACTCCTTGCCCCTGGAGTTCCCTGTCCCTTTCCTGAGGTGATTCTAAACACTGCCAAAACTGCAAAATTATCTCTGGCTACCTTGCTGTTCGGGACATGGGTGGCGCCGATAGGAAGGTCGGCAGTTCGAATCCCGACGATGGGGTGAGCTCCCGTTGTTCGGTCCCAGCTCCTGCCAACCTAGCAGTTTGAAAGCACGTCAAAGTGGAAGTAGATAAATAGGGACCACTCTGGTGGGAAGGTAAACGGTGTTTCCGTGCGTTGCTCTGGTTTCGCCAGAAGCAGCTTAGTCATTCTGGCCACATGACCCAGAAAAACTGTCTGCGGACAAACGTTGGCTCCCTTGGCCAGTAAAGCGAGATGAGCGCTGCAACCCCCGAGTTGTCCGCAACTGGACTTAACTGTCAGGGGTCCTTTACCTTTACCTTGCTGTTCGCTGAGGGTTTGAGACCCATCAACTACCCTCACTTGTTGTAACTGGCCAGTCAAAGCCATTTCCTGAAGTATGGCTGCTGTCACTTAGTGACAACTTCTAGGAGTCACAGGTGAGAGCTGAGTGCAGGGTGGGGACCAAAGGCAGACAAACTACCCCAGAAAGAGCATGGCATGTCCCCTACCAGAGGTACTACCTGTCCCCTAACACCCCACACATCCAGGACGGTTGGATGACACCTTGTATGCCTCCTTCCGGCAACTCCTGCAGCCAAGATGGTGTCAAATGTATTGCTCTGCTTTCCTTTGGACCATATCAGTGCGGCTGAGAGGGGGGCCATGTCATCTGCCCAGGCTTGCGTCCCTGGGAGGTCACTTTGCTATTGCTAATGAAGCGGTTTGACTTTAACCCCGGAGGCGCACTCCATTGTCTCTTGAGGCAGACAAATGCCAACAACCACCTTGCAGTGAGTAATTTTAACTGCTTTCCCTTTGGTTTTGAATTGCGTTATTGTAATTTTAAATATTTGAGATTATTTTTAATTGGCCAAACATAACATAATTATTTTTTCTTGGCTAACGTAACAATTATGAGTGGTATTCAACTCAGTTTAACTCAGAGTAGAGCCACTGAAATTAAAGGACCCAACTTGGTCACACCCATTAATTCTAATGGCTCTACTCTGAATAAAACTTAGTTGGAATACCACCCAATGTTAAAATAGGAAGGTAGGGTAGAAACCATTTTATAAATAAAATTTATGAGTGAGACTGTGGGCCAGTGTAAACAACAAAACAGAGTCTTCTTGAATTACTTTTAAAAATTATTTTTTTTTAATGAAGAAATAATTCCATTCCAAAATATAGACACACAATTAAATAGTTTAATCACTTCAAAATATAACATGTCCCCAGTAGGTTTGAACACACGCACGCACACACAAAACAATACTTAACAACAATACAAAAAAACCCCATACAATAATAGTTCTGTTTACAATACCAATGAACAATGTAAAATTTGTAGTGTGAGTCTGTCTGGACTGGTGTGAAATAACAGTAGTTAAAAACATCAGACAGTAGCCTCAAGATGTAACTCTTCATACATTTTTGGTTCACAAGTAAGATGCCCTCTCTTCTCAGGACACAGCAGCGTGCTCGTTGTTCAAGGCTCCTTTCACTGAATTGAACCAACCTAACTGTTGCAACCTGAGGTTGCAGTATTTACAATAAATATCTACAGCAATTCCAAGAAACTAATAAAGATGGGAGAAGATGATTAAAGTAAAGGCAGACATCTGTGCTAAATAATGATGCAACATTTTGTCTCATGCATATAAGAAAATACATATTATCACAACAAAGGCCACACACCTTTTAATGCAGTTTTTAGTTAACATTACTACTTACAGAGAATCTATTCTCCATCTTTTCTTTCAACATTCAAGAATCATATTCCTCTTCACATTCTCATTCCTCTCTCTTAACTACCTTTCCACTGACAATCCACAACAGGAGTTTTTGGCTGCGGTAACTGGCCAGAATTTTTTTTATAAAAGGCCAGTTCAACCCTTTCTGTAACTTTAATGTTCACAATCCAAACCAAGTTAAACAAATAGATGAGGACCGAGTGGGCTAAAACATAGACCCATTTGGGACAAAACTTTCATCTGACCACTCTCCTACATGTGCATGTGTGTCGGTTTTGTGGGAGGTGATGCCTTCCAGTGTCACCCTCTAGGCATATTGTCCCACCAGACACCCATACCTGTGCATAATGTTTAAATGCGGCACCCACACATAAAATCCAACTCATGGAGGCCTGAACACCACATATAGAATCCAGGAATTGAAAATGTGGTCTGGTCACAGAATAACATCTGTGGAACTTTATCACATGTACATCTTTATTTAAAGATGCATTATAATGACTGATGGCCTTCGAGGTTGGTTGGTTGGATGGTAGCATTGGATAGATGGTGGCATTCCTGCTCCCTCCTCAACACATGCTGCAGAGAAACTGGAGGAAGTACTGTCCTTGCTGGGCCACTACCAGCTCAAAAGCTGGGTAATATTGTAAAACAAGGTTTTTCTTTGTGGAGAGGCAAATTAAAAAGTGCTTAATCTTAAAGTTCCGGAGCATAACAGGCCACCTAGAGCACTGCTTGGGGGTTATGTGCTGAAACCAGGCTGAGAGAATGAAGACGGCAATAGTGCTACATAAACCTTGAAATGTAAGACTCATGCATAGATCTTACATGCAATATAGGTGTGCAAATAAAATGTTTTAAAGCAACGTGGTTATTACTCCCAACTGCAATTATGCGACTGGATTTGGGTCATTCGGACAGAGCTGTGTTCTGGTCCAGTTTGTCTCTCTTCAGGAAACACCTGACTGGAATCCTGAGCGACGTGTCAGAAAGATTTCTTAACACTGTAGTGGTTTTATCTGCTGAGTGCTAGGCACTAGTAGAGTTCTGGTTCCTGAGAGAAGGTTACAGGAGAGGTAAGTGGTCACAGGTTATGTATAACCTGTGATGTATCTACCTGTTGGCAGATATGAACAGGAGTAAGCATTATTTATTGCAAATGTTGGGTTAGGGAGTGTCTCTATGTAAACATATTTTATATTCTGCAGTTGTCTGACTCGTGTGATTTGACTACATAGAGACAATGCTGAAACATACACGAGGAGGAAGGTGGCCAGTGGTAGCAATGATTTCATGCATCTGTGAAAAGTACTAGTAATTATTTTTAACCCAAGTAAGTTTGTCCAATCCTTATTTCCAGTAGAATCAGAAGAGGGATTAAACTTCTAATTTAGACAAACTCTGTAGTAGCTCTTTGGGAGAAGCTTTGTTATGGTTAATGATAGGACATTTTCTACGATGTTTCCATGAAACACGGGATTTATAAAACTGACCCTTTCCCAAACTGACATCCACTATTAGAAATGCTGTGCCATGTATTCAAAACCTTAGTGGAACCCTAGAAATTTCCAGCTTACTTAATGTTTTATTCCTAGCTAAAATATCATTGGTGTGAGTTGCTACTGGCTAACTCAATGCATACCAATGGCTGGGAAATCTCATTGCAACTCCCCCCCCTTTTATAATCCAGATGGATGCAAAGGCCAATGGTCTCTCTCCTCCCTGTTATATAGTTGAAATAGGATGTTAAGTGTTACTCAAAGAGACACCTTTGTAACTACATATAGTTAGTAGAAGGACTGTACTCCCCTCTGTGTTTTTTCATAGATATACTTAGTATCCCCATTCAGTCCTGAAAGAAAGTCTCATTACACATTTCCAAGAATGCATGCAGAACATCTGGTGGCTGGCTAAGGCAATGCACATTCAGAAATTAAATAAAATAGTTGCAAGCGCACTTTTAAAGCCTGTACATTTAAAGCTGAAGGCCTCAACAAACAGGATATGAAGGATGGAGAAATGTGAAAGAACACATGCTTACTAAAGTTCTAAAACAGCTATTAAACAATACTATGAAAGATTATACGTTAACGTGAGTTAGTTTAGGGATTTTATGGCACCTGTGGTTTATAAACAGCTTTAGCAACGAGTATTTCAAAACATAGTTCACAGTTTTAAGAAGATCTGTGCTGATTTTAAAAACTAGATTCTATATCATTTGAATGTTGCCTTTTGTATATGATATCTATTTGAAAAGAAAATATTTACACTAACTTCTATGGCTGATTTGTTAGATTACTTTGAAAGAAAACATTCCTAAGTTATGTAGTAGCCCTAAATCATAGAGATACTTCTTAGTGCATTTTGTACAAGTCTTTTTTCGTTTCTTTTTTCTTTTTTGCAGAAAGACTGTAAAACAAATTGCAATCTAAGTCTGCAATCCTGCAGCTGGACATGTGCATTGAAGTCCCACAGATACTGGCGGGATTCAGCACATATAGCTGGCTGGAGGATTGCAGCCATAGTCTAGCGTCCGGGCTATAAATATGTACACTCAGGAGTATATTCATTCAGTGTTAAATGCATCATTTGTAGCTTTTAAAATTTCCTCTGTGGAAAAACAATGTACAGTGTAGGAAAGTGTTCTAAAATCTCAAAGTATTCAGAAATCAAACTCCTAATATAAACAGTATATTAATATTGTCATTGTAAACTGAAGAGGTTCAACATTATGTGCAAAGGGCTTAAGTGTTTTGTTAGTACTGCCATTAACTGTAATAACGGCATTTTGTTTCAGCCTGTGTTCTTCACCAGTAATGAGCCATGTTACATAGAATGTAGCTGATATAAGTTAGCTTTAAATAAAAAGTCTTTTTTTTCTCTTCAAAACAAACACCTACAAACTACAACTGGTAGAACAAAAATACTGTGCTACAGTCTTCAAAACTAGTTGGTTATCTTATGTCAGAGGGGCTGCATGTGTTGTTGTTCTGCTTCTTCTGTGAAGCTGGCAGCCAGGCTCTCTCTGTCATCCGTCTGAGTGCAGCTCTCCTCCTCCTCCTCCTCCTCCTCCTCCTCCTCCTCCTCCTCCTCCTCCTTTCTTCTGTCACTTTCATTGTCCATTTGACTGCAGCTTTCCTGTCAATATATATAATATACTGTCAAGCTTGCATAATGCGTATTGGCAGTGCAGGGGGAGGAGAAGACGTATTAAAGATACACAGCCCTTCTCTGATCCATGACATACATGGAGTTCCTGCGCGCACACACGCGCACACACCTACACACACACAAAATTTAAGGACGGTATCCTGCTTTTCAAAGGCAGCCCCACATACAATGCATTGCAGTAGATAAATGGGTTGTGCATGGATAAATGTAGCCTGGCTCTCTCTGTTCAGAGACTTTGAAGAAACTTAAATTTGACAAATTTTCTATAGATTGGACCATGCAACTGAATTGCGGACTCGCGAAATTAATTTTAAGCTTCCTGAAACAGAGAAAAGTGTGTATTTGTTTTACATTATAAGCCACAAAGTGATGTTAAGCAAACCTTTTGGAATAATCTTATGTTGCTATTGGTACAATTATTTTTAAAAGAATGTTAGAATTTATCCTTCAGTATAAAAGGTGCCTGGTGTAATGCAGGATAAAGTACAGTATAAAAACACAACCTTGCAGGTTATTTTTTTAAAACAAATTCTGCCATAAGCAATCACCAACTGTATCTTTGCCACCTAAAATCTTGTAACACTATTTACATAATGCTTTCAAAAGTATAGCAAGCTGTTGCTGGCATATGATGGATAACACATTTTAACAAATCATAGTAGTGGCCAGTTTGATTGAATCCAGATGTCACATTTCTAAACTGAAATCAGTTGAATCTAAATATGAACAATGGTATTGGGCTGGGTTCCATATCATTCATCTTGTTACTTAGGGACAGCACATTTGATATCCTGGGGTGACAGTTTTACCTTAACAATATGATACACTCCTCTGCAGGTTGGTAACTTTACCAGTACTGCTCAGCAAGCATAGGTTGTGACTTGGCACTTATAATATACAGGTGGAGTAAAAGCATGGAGGTGTACAAGAACATATTGAGCTGTACACATTGCTCGAGTTCTGCTGCGGAAATGCTAGTTTCTATAGAAACTATCATTTCTATAATTTCTGTAATACGCACAACTACCACGTGGAAATAGTCAGTATGTGGGAGAGCCAGTGTGCTGCAATGAACAGAATGTTGGTTTAGGACTTGAAAGATCCAGCTTCAAGTTGCCACTCAGCTATTAAGCTCATTGGGTGGCCTTGCACCAGTCCCCAACTCTCAGCCTAACCTATCTCACAAGGGTCTTTTTGAAGGGAAAGGAGGAGGGGTGTACTGTGCATAACACCTTCAGCTCTTTGAAGGACAGGTGGGCTAGAAATACAATACATTAAAAGCACCTTTGAAAGCAGCACATTAAAACCTGCAAATTAGAGAATTATAACTGGGGATAATTCTGAGTGATGGCTTGAATTGACTAGTTAATGCATGTAGCAACCCGCAAGGTTGCGCATGTGTTTTAGATGGTACTTAAATTTAAAAGTGCCAGCTTTCAGATGAAATCATTCCACTAGACTAGGTATTCCTAAACTATGGTCTGTGGGCCATCTTCATTTAGATGCTGATATTAAATATCCATATTGATTTTTAATTTCATTTTAATTGCCTTTTTTCTTTCTTATATTCTATGGAATGCAAACTGTAATGCAATGCAATACAATACAAGAAAGAAAAGAAGTACTAAAAATACTATTAACATTCATATAACATTTAACACAGCTGTTACAATTGCTACAACAGGAACAAAAATCATTAAGTGATCCACCGAAACCATCAACAATTTTCAAGTGGTCGGGGGGGGGGCAGAGTTTGAGCACCTCTGTACTAGACTAAAGGTCAGAAACTGGCAGTGCATGGGTTCAGTCTGGTCCTTGAGGGGTGCCATAGGTTCCAAAACTGCTAGCCTCTCTCAGTTTCTTAAGGGAGAGGAAAAATGTGGGAGGCAGACTCTTGGTGTGGAGAAACTGAAGTACACAAGCAAACACAGAAACTCATCTTCACTTAAGCCCCTGCTTGCCTTGCCAGTTGCATTACAAAGTAAAAAAGCAAGAGAATAGGAACGAGAGACCCACAGGAACATGCCAGCAATAGGAGGATCTAGCAGTAGGAGAACTAGTGCTACACTCTAGTCTTTGTGCCCAATTCTAGGTAGCGGAAAGGAGAGGAGGGAAGAGAAGGATGTCTGAATTTGGCAACAGTCCACTTTGGGCTTGAACAGTTCTCTCCTTCACACAGAACAAGTTCATCCTGCCTGTAAAACCACCTGCTGACCAGAGATCTAGACTAACATAATACTTACTTGAGAGGAGAGTGATACTAGTTACTCATCCTTGCAAGCTGACCTATGAATAAAAAGAGAGTGAAAACTGAAGATGTGAGCAGCCAAACTAGTGCAGCATTCTGGAGACAGCAGTGGACAAGAAAGGTGAGCGAGTGTTCATGAGCAGTAACACTACACATTTATAAGGAAGGAGGTTTGCATGCCAGGTGATCCTGTAAGAAGGCTGCTGTTCTTCTGAATAAAAAGGTCATTTACTACAAGCAGCAGAGCAGAGAGGAAAGGAATACTCTCTTCTAATTCTTGTGCCTAGACCTTCTATAGTTCAGTGCCTTGTAGTATAAAAGGAATGTGATTTCTTTGACAGGCAAGGTTCATGTAAGTTCAAACCAGTCAACTGTTCATTTATAAAGTAATTTTCTATGCACATATACAGTGGTGAATGTAAATTTATAGGGCTCTGAAGCTTGAACCAGCATTGAGGTCTAGGTAACTATTGTTATCTTCTTCAATGGGGTTGTTTCACGACAGATCATCATATCTTTACAACATCCACTCTCAAACTTTGGGATTGTTGAAATATGTACCACAAAAAATTAATCATATTGAGTCTACTAGACCCACAATTTTCAAACAATGCAGACTAAAGTTTCTTCTGGGGTCCCTCTGGGATCAGGGCCCTGAATCTTAAGCTTCATTGGTTTCATAGCAGCTCCGCCCTTGCACATGTGCCTGGAACACTATCTTCAAGGGATCTAACTAGGCCAAGGACTGCATCCTATGATACAATCCTTTCCTTGATTTATGCTTGGTGGGTAACAAGAGGATTTCTATGACATATCTTATGCCAGGAGTCAGGGCAAGGATGGGTTGCTTTCACTGTAATCCCTGGGATATGGCACCAGCTGCACTGGAAGAAGCAGCGTGGTCTGTTCCTGACAATGTGCTCATAATGTGACACTATCACAGTTTTTGTGCTATCATTCCATGGCGATTGCTTTATGCAATGCATAGTTACAGCCATGTCGGGAGCAATGTTATAATTAGTAGGTAGCAACAGAGTTGCTAGGGGAAAATAGGAAACATAAGCAGCAGCCTTACACAGAGTCAGGCCATTGGTCCATTGAGATCAATATTATCATTGCACTGACTGGTAGCAGCAGCTCTTCAGGGTTTCAGGCAGGAGTCTTCCCTAGCCTTACCTGGATATGCCAGGGATTGATATTGGGACTGTCTGCATGCAAACCAAGTGCTCTACCACTGGTATCTTCCCGGTGGGGGAGTGGCCATGGCGACAGTGCCTCTTTCGTACTGCTATGGCTGCATTTTTTTACAGTGCTGGGAGGGGCACAGGATTCCAACTAGCTCCGCTTTGGCATAGTGGCAATCATTTTACAGGTTGGATCGGTCAGTTGGTTAGAACATAGTGCCGACAACGCCAAGGTTGCAGGTTTGATTCCCTTAAAGGACAGCTGCATGTTCCAGCAGTGCAAGGGGTAGGACAAGGTGGTCCTCATGGTCTCTTCCAACTCTATGATTCTATGAGATATCTTCTATGAGAAGTGATATGCAAGGAATATACATCTGCTACTTAGATGTTTTGGTAACTTGAACATATCTTTACCTAGACCACAGGACTGGACTACCTGTCTGCTGATCCTTTTTTCATTTATTTGTTTGTATGCCTGCATGACGACTCTTGAGATTCACTTTTATGATAATAGCCCCTTAATGCAGAAGGGCCACAGCCTAACTTTCTTTGAATGAAATAACATATAGAGCTGGTTTCCATATGCATATCATCACTTCGTTTCTCATTACTTCATTACTCAAAACTTGATTGCGTTGCTCCATTGAGCACATTCTTTGAGCTGGCGATGGATAACATGGAAGGTCAACCTTCAGAGATTAAATCAGTGATGGCTCATTTACACATGCAAATCTTCACTCTATTCTCCAGCTAATAAGTGCCAAACATGCACACGTGAGCCAAGTACCACTCTATTGCAAATCAGTAAAAACGGTTGGCAAAGCACATTGTTGACAGAGAATGCTATTAGCATTTGTGATGCATCAACTAACAGCCTGTTGAGGTTAATGTCAGCCTTGTTCAGTTCAGTACCTACAGCACTTCCTGATTACTCACACATAGAAACATGAATGAATATAATACTAGTTGGAATCTGACGCCTCAGCTCTACAGAGAACACATTTGAGATCCAACCGAAATAGAATCCAGCACAGTGTCATTTGTGGATTCTAATTTTACCTAGATACTTTGCTGAGCTCTCTTTTTTATTTTTACCTGATAAGCTTCATCCTGCAGCTTTTGTTTCAAATATTCCTCCATCTTGAGCTCATGCTCTAGCTGGCGAACAGAGTCATTTTCATAGTTCTCATCATCTGCTCTAACGTAAGGGTCTCCATCTTCTGTAACCCTAAAGACAATTATTAATAAACAGCTTCCTAAAATTTAAAAAATGCTAACATTCAGAACTCATTGCGTTTTCCTCATGAACTCAGAAAGGCAAGTCCTGTTTTGTGTATTTCTTAAAAACTCCATATACTGTATATTCTTTCAAAACAGAGGACTTATTTGTTTACACATTCACATTTCATCTTTCAGATGGATCTGTTCATTCACAGAGAGATTCCTACTTGCAGTGCCTTTGGGGATAATTACTGTATGCTAGACCCTAACTACTGTTCTGAAAAATGAATTCCTAGACTGCACCATGTCAGCCTAAAATTTGGAGGCTATATTTGCTTCCTCACATAATAAATAAATAGTATCTGTGTGTTGTAAACTAGAAATATGATAGATTTCTACTGGCAGGGAGTCTTCTCTCTCTTACTTCGAAGAGACAACAACATATGAGAATTACAATATGACCCTAAACACCTGCAGTCTGAAATGGTATAATCTAGGAAGGAGATAACTTAGCCATCTATGTCAGAACTGTGTTTATGATTCTGGTCTGGGTAGGAATTCACAGCCGAGAACACAGGAAGTACCCTGGGGGAAAAGATATGCACTGCTTTCTCCAAAGCACACTCACTAGCCCAGTTAGCACATAACATTAAGCCAAACTGTGGCTAAGCATGAATGAGCAAGCGTTCAGGTACTCAGAGCTAAGATCATGGATGCTTTATTCTTTCCACAAAATTTCTCAGCTGCATGCCACCAACTGAGTTGTCGAAAGAAACCCACTGCTTCTGTGCTACCCAAAGCAAAGTCAGAGTTTGGCTTAGCAGTATGTATTAACCCAGGCTTGCAGTTTGTCTCCCCCCAAACAAACAATGAGCAGTAAACCATGAACATGCTTGATTAAACATGCTTAGGATTCTTTTGCACAGTGTTAGTTGATTTAACGGTGCAATCCTATGTATGCTTACTTGGAGGTAAGTCCCACTTTGTCAGTAAAGCTTAGTCCCTAGTAACCACACTTAGAATTGCAGCTTAAACTTCTGATTAATTGAATTAAAACATGCATATTTAAAGAAATCACAAACAATTCTTTAATCAGGACATCTCCTACTTTACTTTTTTTTATTAATTTCAGCAACTGAATTACCACTTAACACCATAGTTTTTAACCTGTGCACAATGAGATTACAAAAAAGATACAAAGATAAAATCAGTTAAAACTAAACATAAAGTAAAAAAGGCTAACTTAAGATGCCTGCCAAAGTTTTTAAAAAGTCTTCACCATGTACCTGAATAGAGGATATAAGGCATAGGCATGTATTGGTATGTATTTTTCCTACATTTGTGACTCATCAGTATGTCTTTAATGCTTTGGCATAACTGATATGCAGAATTTCTCTCTGAATCTGAGACGAAGCAAAGTTCTGCAAATGTCATATTCTACATTGCAAAAGACTGTTTTGTAAATGGGAGGTAAGGCAACACTGGAAATTCTGTATACAGAAATTAGGTTTAGATTGTCTTGGTAGTGACTGACTTTCCCCCTGCAGCTAGAATGGCTTTGTCCTACTGCAAATCCACCTGATTAAATGGTGTATGTATAAAGATCGAAACTGAGCAAAAAAATGCAGAACACTTGACACTTGATTCAGGTAGGTAGCCGTGCTGGTCTGATGCAGTAAAAAAAAAACACCACCAAAACACTTGAGGAAGACTTTTAATCTCAGGGTCATGGGTTTGAGCAAGAATAGGGGCAAATTGGCCATGATTTCTACTCTTAAGTACCTGCATGCTTGCTCATTCATGCTTAGCCATGGTTTGGCTCAGCATTACATGTGAACCAGGTCACAGTGTGTGCAGAAGGTCAGCAGTGTGGACTGTGCAACTGCTGGTTTTGTCTACTCTGTGAACCAATAGGGGCCAGCAGTTTCTAAGGATTAGGAGTAATGAAATAAAATTTCAAGAGCAGTTTTTGTTATGTGGAATGGGAAGTGGAGGCTAATTTCTGAGCCATTTCCCCTGTTCCCTTAAAGGCCCATGACCTAGGCTATCACCTCACCAAGAAGCTAGCCTGGATATCTCAGGAATTAGAAGGGGCCCAGGCCTACGGCCTACCACCCCACAAACATATACTGTAACAATATCCACTGGAAACATTATTTTCCTCTAGCTGGAGGTCAGCAATTGCTAAATTCATCTCCTAGTAAAGGGCTCCGCCCTGAAAACAAACAGTTTCTACATTTATTTGCTTTAGTGCTGAATTTCCAAGTTAAAATCACTGCATAATTGTTTTTCTTTTGAAGGCTGTGAGATTCATAAAATGGATTTAAACACAATAGCCCTCATTGCTATTCTTGGCCTAATATTTGGTTAAGAGAGCAACTCCATATTACATGTACATACCACATTTGCTTAGCTTCAGAGATGGTTTATTGAAGACAATATGGAATATATATTATTTAAAAAGGAAAGAGAGATAATGAGCACAAGGGGTTACCCACATATCACTGCGGATGGTGCCAGAGGCAGCTGCACTGTGAAGGTATCCTGGCTTCCGGGCATGAATCTGCGCAAGGAAAGCCTTTTCAGAAGTTGGCGATGGAACAAGGTCATCAAAATGAGTCCGACCAAACTCAGAATCCACATTACTCTCTGTCTCACTTCCAACTTCTGTGGGAAGAAAGGCGCCAATGGTACTATGGTTACATGAACTCTAGGAAGTTTCTCTCATGTTTCTAGCACAGACTGACTTTACACCACCATCCTAAATGGCTATAAACACACCAGTTGCATACAGTTTTTAACTAAAGAGTTTGTTTACTTTACTCATGTACTGCTGATACTCATTTTGACACATGCACAGAGATTATTTATTGTGTAGCAGGTGTGATTATTTAGTGCACCTTGACATCCCTTAACTACACAGGCATTAGGCCAATCCCCATGCTGATTCCCTTTAACCAATGAAGGGGTCAGCATGGGCACCACAGTGCCACAGCTCTAACAATGGGTTGCTGCCAAACCTTCTTATGCAAAACAGTGCAGAGTTTTGGATCTCTTTTGTTACCCATGTAGCGTTAAACTATGCAACTCTGCTTCAAGAGTAAAAAATTGATTTTGTGTGTGAGTGAGTGGGAGAGAGAAAGAAACTCTGAGCGTTGCACTCTAGTTACCTTGGATGGGGGCAACTGTCTTCAACAGAATTTGCCACACATTTCTCCTTACATATTAAAAACATCTTCTACATAACATACTGTACATCTCTTTTTGTAGTCTATAAACATTATGGTTTTTTAAAAAGAGTGTTGAATGGTTAAATATTAATTCTGCTTTTAAATAATCAGACCTGAGTTCAGTTCTTTCACCAGAGAAGACATAGTGTTGGTGATTGAATCTGCTGCTACCAGCAAGTCATTCCTTAAATTTCTTCTTGAACCTGGGAAGACAAGCAAAGCTTTATGTTCAGAGGTCTCCTTACCCCTTGTAAGCTTAACAACCTAGAGAGTGTAATTAAACTGCAGTGCAGTAAATGAAAAACACATTTTAGATCTATATTCATGCAGCTTTTATGTGGACGTCGTTTCCCCTTTCCTACACCACACACCAACCACTGCTCAGTGTTTCATCTAATGCTGGTGCCACCAATCTAGAATAAACTATAGACCAGGATCCAAAGGAATGGGATATCCAGTCTGCTTTCCATGTCACAATCAACTTTGGAAACTCACAGGGCATTCCAAAGCAAGGTTTTGTGATCAGCCAACAAAACAAAACCTCAGAGACTTCATGGTGCCTGCCCAAGCCCTCAAAAACCCAGCTTCACTAAACTCATGTTGGCCACTGATCTTAAACTGGTAGAACCAGGGTAGGGGATGTCTGGCCCCACAAATATTGTTGAGGTCAAGCTCCCATCATCTCCTGCCAGAATGGCCAACAGTCAGGGATAATGAAGTCCCAACATCATCTGAAGGGACACAGGTTCCCCATCCTTTCCAATATAACTTTCTAATGAGCTAGTTCCATGCTGAACACTACAAAAATAGATAACGAAAACAAACAAATAAAAAACCAACCCCATTTTCCACTGAGTTAAAAACAGCAACCTGGCTTTTAATCCTTCCCATGCTTATTCTTTATTTGCTATGGATCTTCATTGCTTAAGGACCAAATACAAAATTCATATATTTTGCATTTTCTAACACAGTTTCCCAGTTTCTTACCCGCTTCCTCCTCCATTGGAAGCTTATACTTTCAGCAACTGTTTACTGCTCCAGCCCACATGCACTATCCACAAAGACTGAGGAGGGGGGTCTTCTTCAGCCCAAAGCCTACATTCCCCCGTGGGCAATCTTCCAGAGACTGCATGCTGGACTGGTGAGCAGGGCCAGAAGCAAAAAGCAGGCTGAGCAGTGGAGGGACTTTTAACCCTTTCTTACAGCCTTTCATTGTGGTTATATTCCAGTGGAGGCTATGCTCCAGCCACACAATTCAGAATTATCCATCCATACACCCCCATGTCTTCCCACCTTCTATCCAGGCAAGCAAGAGGCATTAGAACCCAAGGACAATACACATTCAGACAAGAGCACGGAGCACAGTCTATGAGAGATGCAGCCTGGGGAGGGTGTGTGGCCTGCAGAGAGTCCTGAGGTTCAAATACACAGCCCTGGAGGACTGCATTTGGTCCCCGGGCTCTGTATTTCATCCTCGCCTCTGCACTAAAGCAATACAGGGGAATTGGTGCTTCTAACTAAAGAATCACTTTTGTTATAGGGACTTGGAGGCCAATGAAGAGGACTCGGAGGAGTCAAGCAGCTGGCATGAGAAATTATCATGCAACAATGTGGCACATTATGAAGAAGTATAATTGCTATGGCCAGAGAATACAATGCATCTTTATGTACACTTGATTAATAGAGGATGTTGTGTCTGTTGCAGATAATCTGGCTTCTTTAGTTAGTTAGGCCAAATCTTTTCCTCATGCTTTTCATTATGGTGAAACAATACTAACTTTTTACAATTGTTTTATGCCATTAGGAATCCTCTCACTGATACCACTTGTTCTAAACACAAGCTTTTAATTAGCCTAAATCGGGGTGCCTTCCAGATGTTGTTGGAGTACAGCTCTCGTCAACCCCAACCATTGGCCATGCTTCCAGGGCTGATCTGGACGCATCAGTTGGCTATGCCCACCTTAAATGATAAAAAACTCATTTGTAGATGACATGGCGTATGTACGACAAGGGAAGAAGTCATTGAGTTGCAGGGGCATTTTCCCCACCCCTGCTGACTATTCCTAAGCACAACCACTTTGTAGCAAAGGATGCTCTGCACAACTTACCTTGCGCAAAGGCTTCCTGCACATCTCCTCCCACGCCTGTCAGAGAGTCTTGAGGTGTATGGGCTGGAGTCGAGCAGGCAGACGCAGATCTGATGGGCATAGGAATAGGCCGGCTGATAGTGTGGCTGGGAGAGGAGCGTGGGGAGCCTGCCCCTTGGGTCTGGAATAAAAAGGTTTGCTAAGTGGGTTAAGCACGACTTACAGCAGAGAGCGCCCCAGCACTGCCATCGCCAATTATATTCCTACTGTGCAAACAGTCAGAAAATGCCATGTCATGCTGAATACTGGGATCATCCTGATGGAAAGCGAGCACATCAGTCTCTTTGTTAGTTAATAGGGTCAGGCGTGCACACTAGTAAAACAGCAGAAATGCAAAAATGTAGTGAAGTAAGACAGGAAAAATGGCCAAAAGGATTTGATAAGTTCCAGGGTTCAAATGGACATTAAAAACCCCCCATATATGGGACTTTTTTTCATGGAAAATATAATGTTAACAATGTGCACAGTAATACAATACAGTCTTCTATTTTATATTACTATTATTACTGTTACTATTATATTCTGCTTAATGCCAAAATAGGCTTCTAGGTGTTTTACAAAGTATATGAGAAAAGTTACACAGATGCAGAGGTCTTTGCATTAAGATGACTGGAAGTCTTGGATAGAATTGTTAGCTTTTCATACAGAAAGAACTGTGTTCAAAAATTAGATGTAGGAACTCCTTTCTAAAACAAATACTAGAAGTGTGGGGTCCTGAAATGGACCCAGTACTCCATGCCATCCTCATGCCCAGTGCTTCTCTGCCCTGGCTGTCTTTCAATGGCTTCTGCTTATGGTGGTGCAAGATGGGGAAGGAAATTGCTAAGCGTGAAGATGTCAGGTCACACTTTCTGCTTTAATTAAAGCTTGTTAGGAGATGATGCAAGTTATCCTTGGCTGTATGTTCAAGGCAATGCACGGTTTGGCCCTAAAATGCAGCACAAATAGCTATTGTTAGGAAACAAAACCAAACAGCAAACCCCAGCATGAGTGCATGCAAGCCTTTTATGTGAGTCTAAGGAGGATCTCTCCATCCTGGACAAAGCGTTTTAACATCAGTCATAAGAAAGACATGTAGTTGGTCAGTGAAAGTGAGCAGAACACGTCACAGAATACACAAAGATCTTATACTCATCGATTCTCTACCAGCTAATCCTGTTTTTCTCATCCCACGTAGGGAGCAGCAGCAGGTGGTGTATTGAGCCCCACCTGGTTGCCATACAGAGTTGATGAGCAGCATTCAGTGGGTTACAGGTTTTGCAGAACTGCTTTAGAGTTACGAACTCTATGCAAGGTGTGGGAATGGACTGCAGAGATAGGAGTCTATACATGGAACTAATGAGCGGTATTCAACTAAGTTTTTCTCAGGGTAGACCCATTGAAGTTTAACATGTCTAGGTTAGGGCCCTTCATTTCAATGGGTCTACTTTGAGCAAAACCTAATTGACTTTGTTTACTTTTTAGAAGTACAGTTGCTAATAGGCTCATAGTGGTAACGGGACAGCGAAAGAGGTGTGGTCCATTCTTCCAAGTTCTTTCCACAGCAACACCCCACTTTCAAGTTACCATTTTGCTCCTGATGTGGCAAAAATGTTTGGGAATCCTGGGAATTTGTAGGGAAACTGTCGCTGGGCTGAAGTGACATCTAAACTACTTCTGCTAGGCCTGGGGCTGCTCCAAGCTCAGCTCACTTACTGTTTGAGGGCTGCCAACTCCTGAGAAGAACAGTTCTGGTGTTTGGGTGGGTGGGGCCCTCAGGGCCAGGGAGAGGGGCTCAAATATTTTAGAGGGTAGAGTCCAGTGGACTCTGATATACTGGGGTAGAGCCTAGTGCAAAAACTGTCACACCAAGTGAGGTAGTGGTGTGTTTGTGGGGCGAAAGGCTTTGTCCCTTGATTTTTGGCCTTGAAACTGAGAGACCTAGGCAGATAATTGTTTTCCTTTCAGTTGCTTAGAAGAAAGGATGAATGGGGGGTAGATTGGGAGCTTGCAGAGTCGTGGCAGAGAGTGGATTGTTTCAATTCTGCCCTACCAAAATTCTGAACAGGTTCATGGAAGCAGGAATTGTTTCCTCAGTCCACTCTAATTCAGTAAGGCAAAGGTAAAACACAACACAACACAACAAACCTCACTGTATAGAAGACCTTCAAATGCAGCTGGGGCATTCAACTGCATTTTTGCACTAGCGCAAGGCAGGAGGGAACATCCTCAACCCCACACCAGAAACTTCTCTTTATTTCTGGATTGTGTCTCGAACCTGTGAAGTTCTGTGTCCACTCTGGAATTACTATCCCCATTACTGGAAGCCATGGTTCCAATGTGGATTTCTGTATGGAGATAGCTCCATTCTATCCCTTAACTGCCAACCCCACAGTTTACACTATTCATTGTCTAGAATCTTGATGCCCAGATAAACACTAGTAGAGCTTGGAGAAAAGTATGGGAGCTGCTTTGGGTTCTTAGTTCTGGAAGCATCTATTTGGCATTTCTAGGTGTGTTTTTTTTAAATTTATTTTAGTCAAGCTCACACTGCTGTTATGTCTGAAAATAGACAAATCCATTTCCTGTTACAGCAGCTATAATTTAGACAATGACAATTTTAATGAGAAATGTCATCTGTATCTTCTCATTGAGTGCACTGATAAGAAACTAGCAGTAAGATACTTAGGTTTTATCTACAATCACCCTCCACTCAGTTCGGTAAAACTTAAAACAAATCTCTTCTGTTAGTCTTTGGTATGTAGCTCCCTCTGCTGGAACCTAGAGTGGCTCACAGGTTAGAATCACCAGGGTAGAAATCTATACAAAATAAAAGAGCTACATTTCTGAACAGAAAAATTAGGAACATGGAAGACAGAAATGCTTAGTACACTAAGCAGAAAATATATAGGATAGATTTGTATATCTTTGCCCTTTATAACGGTATGCACTTATGCTGAGCTGAAACAGAGTGGGCCCCCCCTTTACAAATCTTTTCACCCCTCATGAAAAGCTCCCACTTTGCTGGCTGAACACCCTTTTGTGAAAAAGTATTCACAAATGGATGGGGTTTGGGGAAAGTGAGGAGGAGGAAAGACAGAAGGTAGATGCTCCTTTGTTCCTCCTAGTTAAATGTTCTCGACTGGTTGTGGTACAATATGGGTGGAGATGCGCAAGTGGATGTGCAGCCTGTGAAAGTAACACAGTGTAGATAGAGAAAACTGGTATTCAGATGCACCTCCAAATCGGGATGTCGTCCTTTCTCACTGCATTGCTGTCACTAGTAGTCAGATGCAAAAATGTGTGGCGAAAGTTTTGCCATGCAGTGTAGTCAACTTGGATATTCCACAGCCCACCCCCCAGAAAGGTAGGACACGAATATTTTAAAATGAAAGCACTGCCCTCAGTGTTGTCTGTTAGACAAATGTGATTTTTATACTCTGGTGCCATCAGTAGCTCTATGTGATCACTGATTGGCAGGGATCTTGCACTGAAGGAGAAAGAAACCACTGAAGTTGCAAAGAAGCAGTAACATTTTGGGGCCATGATCAGGTATAACCTTCCCAACACCATAAAAATGTGGAGTGGGGAGGTCAGGATGCTTTTCACACTCCTCAAAACCTACTTTTCATATTGAAAATATCTGAGTGAAAATTCAGCATAAAACTGCAATTTGAATGATTGTTCACTTAAATGAGTTCAGTGAGTTGGGTTCAATAAAAAAGTGGGCTCAAATCTTACATTATGAAAAGTAACAATAGTACTTTTAATGTAGATACAGTGGTGGCTCGGGTTACAGATGCTTCAGGTTACAGACTCCGCTAACCCAGAAATAGTACCTTGGGTTAAGAACTTTGCTTCAGGATGAGAACAGAAATCGTGTGGTGATGGCGCAGCAGCAGCGGGAGGCCCCATTAGCTAAAGTGGTGCCTCAGGTTAAGAACAGTTTCAGGTTCTTAACCCGAGGTACCACTGTATACCAATAGATCAGCTATGGCCCAATACCACCAGTTTTCTCCTTGTCTGTGTGCACATAGTTCTAGCTACTGCACATTGATTTCATAGCTGAACCAAGAAACAAAACTCTGTTTTATTATAGTGAGAAATCCCTCAACACTTCCTGAGCCAGTGAGAATGCTACACTTTAGTCACTTAAGAAACATTATTCCATTGGCTTCAGTGTGATTTAATGCATTTGGAAAGATAATTACAAACACAACCTTAGTGCATTTTTCAGTACAAATAGGTTATGGAATTATTTTTCAAATATTCTCTAAGCTGTTACTTGGGTTGGGGGATGGACTTAGCATTTCATCAATCTGAAGTACCTCTACATTTTCAACTTCAAGGAGTTTGCTCACATTCACACAATTCAATAGTTTGTGTTGGACAGCATTGAAGAGTTATTGCTCTTCATGCCAAAGATACCATTATATCAGTAGTGAGCCACAGAGATCTGTTAGGTTTGTTGCTGACCTCTCAAGAAAGCCATAACAGCTGACTGTTTAAAGTACCTTAACTTCTCAGATAAAAGGTTAAAGACGTGCGAGGTAGTGTTATTTATTGGTCCAGAGCATGTAAACGCATTTCAAGCAGATGTAGTAAGCACACATTTGGATCACAGGAGCACTTCTTAAGAGTTAGTGACATCTACAGAGTAAATAACTTACTCCCTGCTTCAATTCTTCTTCCTAAAGAAAGATTGGATCATTGCGAGTCAGATGAGTCTGAGCTTAAAGTATGAGATAGGGGAGAGACCTGCAGCTACAGGGCAGGATTGTCACCCTTGGTCTTAGAACAGCATACTTCTGAACATCAATTTCGGGGGGGGGGCAATAATGAAGGGCAGCTGTTGCCTTTCTCTCCCATTTGAGAAGTTTTGGAGTGACCTGGCTAATCACTGCTAGAGTACTGTAGATGGTCAGATTCAGCAGGACTCTTACATTGTAAATGTTCTCACATAACAACAGGAGTGGCTATATAGCAACACAGCTCCAAGTTAAGTGGTGCACTCAAACCATAAAAGGGGCCAGCCTCAAATTTCCTAAAGATTGTCATGTTGTTGGATGCAAATATATTATGTATATATTATGAGCCTCCTTCCTTGGATGTTTTTATGCAGAGGATGGATGCCCATATCCATGACAGATGTCATGGATGTTTTAGCTGAGATTCCTGCATTGCAGGGGGTTGGACTAGATGACCCTTGGGTCCCTTCTATGATTCTATACAGGATTGAGAAACAGCAAAGATGGCTCAATAGCTCTTTTGCTGTGCACTTCTGTATATCAACGAATATACTTTGTTAAATAGGGGTAGCTAGCAGGAAAATAATATAATTGTAGCCCCTGCAGGTATTAAGTTTAATGAGACTAGGCTAGTTTATGCCAGGACTTATTTTTAAAAATATGAACAAAATTCCAAACAAAGAAGTTGAGTCCTTGCCCATCTGCCCCCTCCCCTCCCCAAGTGAATTTCTGTTATCAAAGGGATGCATTTCTGCACATTAGTCCCTTTCCAAATCATTTAGGCTGAAGAGGTTAACAAACAGGGGATGTATATAATGAAATACGACAACTAGCAGCAACACTCCTTAGCCCCTCAGTACTAAGTACCTGGAGAAAAGGGCATTTGAATCCACTCTCCATTGCTGCTGTTTTTGTGGAAAGAATGGTCAAATTGTAGGTTGAAAAGATAACAGCAACAGCAACCTATTTGTCTGGGCAATGGGAATGATTAATATCTGAAGTTAGTGGGAGGTATTTCCCAGAACAAACATCTATGGCAGGGATGGGAAATCTGGAGTCCCCTGAGCTGCTGTTAGACTCCATCAACCCCAATCAGCATGGCCAATGCTCAGGGAAGGGTGAAGTTATAGTCATACATCATCTGGAGGGCTACAGGTTCCACATCCCTGGTCTAGGAGAGAAATCGTATAGGCTTGGGAATTAAAATAGTTTACCTTTAGCAGTTTCATGAGGCCTTCTAACTGAACCATGAGTTCTCTCCGGCTTTCCTGAAGAGCTGACATCCTCTGTTCAAGCTCATCCTTCCTCTGCCTAAGAAGAAATAAACATTTAAGATCAGGGCATGTAGCTAACCATTCCAAAGCTTCCCAGACAAATGAACATGCAGCGGAAAAGCCTGCATTCGTAATCCAAAACATGTGGTATAATGTTGCACCTGATTTCCTATGCAGGAAGTTTTTGCCCCAAGACTGCCCATGAGCACAATTCACAACATGGAGCTTGGTTCCACTCTTGCAGCAGATGAGGTGCCATGGACAAGCCCTCCAGAATCTTTTCCTAGCTCACCTCTATGCTACTCCAATGCACCAAATATATATTTATTTTATTATTTGTTTTTATCTGTCTCTTATTCCAAGAAGCTCAGGACAACATGCATAGATAGTCCTTTCCTCACTTCTTAATTTGTCTCCACAACATTCCATAAAATGGGTTAGGCTGAGAGGGAATAACTTGCTCAAGGTGACCCATTCAAGAGAGGATAGGAAGCTGGCACTCCCTTGTCCTAGTCGGATACTCAATATTGATTCTCTAATGGATCAAATGTTTACCGGCTAAAAGTCTGCCTACACAAAAGGCTGACATTTCCTGAACGTCCTGGATTTTTGTCAGAATCTGCTCTCCTTCTGCCATTGCGAATTCAAGTTGGTAAAGCCTATTTAACTGTTGGCTGGGTTTGGAACCAGAAGTTGCTTTTTCAATATGTGTTACTCTAGCTCTTGGGATTCCTTTCCCTGGTAATTCAGCTATTCCACAAGGTCTCCTGATCCAGGACAAACTGATGCCACACTGCTGAGTATGATCTTGCATCTATTTGCTGATTATTTGGCACAACACACATTGCCTCAAAGGTGCATTCACATACATGTTCATCCCCTGCTGACTACAGTATCAACAGATATAGGTTCAAACACTATACTTTTCAATGTAAGGAACATGTTCAGTGTCCTTTAAGGAGGTACTAACTTCTGGGGTTTTTTTTTTGTTTCTTTTAAAGTTGAGTGTTAATTGGGGATAACATAGAGCTGCTGAAATAACATAACGAGCACAAATCATGATGAATGCTCAGTAGAAAAGGACGTCTGGAAGAGTCCTTACAGACATTATCTTAACTTCCACTCTCAACTTCTTAGCCAACTAGAATGACAATTTAATAATTACCTGATTTCAGTTTACTGGGCCGACTTTTTGAGCTTTCCGGGATCTTTTGAACCCCCCCAGCAAGAACAGCCTTTAAGCAGAATGCAGATTAGTGTTCTAGTCAGTGCTTTTCTTCTAGAAAAAAAGGTGCTGGTACTGCATAGCTTTGCGTACCACCAGGAAAAAAGCACTGGTTGTAGGTCAAAGCACCTGGAGGGCACTAGATTGGCAAAGCCTGGTGTTTAGGTTAGAGAGCCACAGTGATATTTTTATTAGAGAACCTGGGACTGTGAAATAGCCAGTACACTGCACAAAACACTTGGGAAACAACCACATAGTCGCTACTTATACTTTCATTATGTTGAGAAGCTTTCATTTGGCTATTTTGCAAATGTTGTGCAAGGAATTAAAATAAGCCCCTTTAACTGTTAATTAACTATTACTATTCTGACCGCACACAAGCTTGGACAGATACTGCTTCCTGTGACATTGCAAATTAAAATGGAGGACAGATCTCTGTTGACAAAGCTCCCTAAGGACATTCAGTGTCAATAAATTTAAAGAAAGTTATTATGTGCTTTTTTATCTGTGAAGCAAAATCAAAGAAATGCAAAAACAAGCACCACACACACTGGCTTACCCCTAGGATAGTGTACACAGGATTACAGCCTCAGAGAGTCAAGTAAAAATTCCAGCACTGCATATTCAAGGGACTTTTTTTTTAAAAAAAGTAAAACTATTTCACCCTATTTGTAGTATTTTAAAACACATTTTAGGATGGGTCTCCAAAAGAGAAACAGTTAAACTTGAACATTGATCTTGATCACTTTCTAATCAGTTCTACAACACTAATGTTGCATGTTGCTGCCATTATTTTTTTCTAGTTAGAGGAAGAGTTATCTTTTGACAACTCCATTAGTAAAATCAATAATGGAAAACACAACCTCAAAACAATATATGCTACCTGGTAGTGTGCCCTACTGAACTCAATGTGGCTTATTTCTGAGCAGAGATGTGTAAGATTGTGTTATTATTATTTTTTATATAAAAAACCTCTGAAGTCATTGGCTGAATATAATATACTGTATGTACTTACCTCAGGAGCCGAAGTTCTGCCAGGAGAGTAGGATTCTGCGCTGCCTTCTCTGGAGTGGGTTGAGACGCCTGCTCATGTTCAAGTCGCAGCCTGTGAATCTCTTGTAAGATTTCTCTTACAGAAGAAGAGAAGAAGAAGAGGTAAGCCGTCAGTAACGTTTTCAGAAGCCGCCCAGAGTGGCTGGGGAAACCCAGCCAGATGGGCGGGGTACAAATAATAAATTATTATTATTATTATTATTATTCACCGAGGGCCCCTCTAAATGACCTGTTTATTGGGCATTCATCCTGGCTTGTGCCTGCACAAAAGCACATCAGGAGCAGCTGGTGACAGGGGAACTGCTTCACTAACTGGCAGGTGGGTTACTGTTGCTTACCTCGAGGGAGAGGCGGCAGGGAGGTAAATATGGTGCAAAAGCACCAGCAGGAGCACTTAGTGTGTTTGCACTGTGCTGACTTCCCTGCCACCTAGCTCCTCCCTCTCTTGGTAATCAAGAGCATCCCACCTGCCTGGAAGATAGCACAGCACCTTCACTCTCAAGTGATGCAACACTTCTGGATTTACCTAGTTGGACTCTGTTGAACATTCTTTCTAATTTGTTTGTGGGGTGGTTAAACAATGATGAGCATTTGTCCTGCATTCATTCCGATTTCTTATGGGGTGTTTATATGTATTCTCATTAGTCAATTGTTCATCTCACACTTTTCAATGCATTTCCCCATCACTTAACAAACCACAAAGTGTCTGTTTCTTCTTTTTTGTTGTGCTAGGGCAAAGGTTTTCATTTTTTTTGAGTCCACGGTTCCCTTGACCAACTACATTCTTTCTGTGGCACCCCTGTGGGGCTCAGGAGCCCAGTTATGTCATCGCTTGCCTGCAGAGCTGGCAGCCTCTCACCCTTTTTCAAGTACCCTCCCTTGTGGAGTGTTCCCTCAGCCTCCTCTCCTCTCACCTCTCATCGCGAGTCCTCCAGGCAGCCTCTGTTGCTGCCCCTGGACTCTGAGATGCCTCCCCCCTCCCCATCCCAAAGAGAGGTACCTCTTCACACTGCCCCGAAATCTGCTACATGGAAAAACTGAAAGCTCAGATGCTGCAACTAGGAGGTACTCTTTAAGTACAGATTGTCTCATTCCTTATTAACTTAAATTCCAAACCCAGAAACAAACAGTGGCCCCAGTGTATTATACTGCATCTATAGGTTCCCTCATGACAGACTCACCACAGTTTTGGTCAACTCTGCCTTGATACTTGATACATTTTGTTTCTATCTGCAGACATACATTTAGCTTGGAGGTAGGTTACAACAGACTCTTACCTGTTCTTATTTTCAAGTTCTGCAATAAGCTGTCTTTGTTGCTTATTAGCATCAATAGAGAATGAGATATCTGGAGCACCTCTCTGTTGTGGTTGCTGTTGCTGTTGCAGTTGCTGAAAGATAGGTTGTTCATGTCAATAGCAATGGCAAATAAAAGTATATTGTTTAAAGATAGACATGCCCATCTTTTGTCCTTTTTGTATTCATACATATTAACCATATGACTGATATCGTACAGCAATGCTTGTGTAATATAGGGGCTAAAGGTGTTTATTCAACTTCAATTAATTTCAAAAATTTATACCCTGCCTGATTTTCAAAGAAACTCAAGGTGGTCCATACAATACAAAAACAAAACTGAAATCCCCATCATTCCCTTTCCCCCTGCAGCCTTCTGCACACCCACAAAATGTGCTCTGGAGGGCTGAGGAAAAGAAGAAGAAAGGGAAATCCAATTGTGTGATATTGGGTGGAAGAAGCAAATACATACACCGAAGACACTGCACTGAAAGTGACTAGCAATTAACTGATTTCTGACCCACATAAATTATTTTGGCCTTCATTCCATCCAGTCACACTTCTCTCATAACCACTTGGTTAATTGACAGTATCTGTTAAGAATTTCCTCAGAAGACCTTGTGATCAGTCTCCCTCCCTCCCTGCTCCTCCTCATGACAGAAGCACTCCTTGGTTTACAACACAATCAGTAATCAAAAAGTCAGGATAATATTTGGCCATTGGCATCGTTCTCATCATTGTAGTTGATGCTCCAGCGGCAAAGCTGTAGACAAGATGCACACTCTCAGCCTTGGTGAGGTACTGTGATAATTAATCTGCTGTCCCCTCCCATTTTGAAGACAACTGAGATGAGTAACAAGGGGAGGGGGAAGAAGCTCATTACTTGCTAACTATCAATAGAATACTAGCACAGCTGAAGCAGTCCCGGCTTTATTGAACAGGGTCAGTTGGGGAATGACAACATCACAGAGGCCTGAGGCCACAGCACTTGAAACATACCCAACAAAATCTAACTAATGCTCTGAATGTATTCACTGGCTGTATTTTAATCAGAATTGCACTTAAGTAGCTATGGATTCAAGTGATTTTACTGTCCCAAGTGCTTAGCAAATAAGTCATAATGAGCGTGATCTCACTTTCTTCTCCTAGAATGGAGAAGGTCCTCTGCTGGGTGGCACAACACCTCTGAAAAACCTCTTGAAAAACCTCTGCTTGGTGGCACTAGCCAATATTTTGTTCCACTGATGCAAGAGAACTCTCTCTACAGCAGTAGTGACTTTCCTTCAACTGTCATGTAATAATTTTCAGAGACAAGTCTCACAGTATGACGAGCATGATAAGTAGCTTTTACAGTGAGAAACTGTGCTGCACATGCAGCAATGGTGGTGGAATAATGTCTGTCATTAACTGGAAATCATGGTCTATTTTAGGGATGGCTGAGTTCTTCCAAAGTCCCCTTGGATTAGCTTGGAAATAACCTGAGCCCTCAAAACCTGGATCATTTCTCTGAGGCGATCCAAGGCCTGGAAATAGAAACCCCATTCTCAGCCTGTGATACTTGCAGGAATATGTTTTGGAGGATGAAAGGACAAAGTGAACAGTAGTGGTGATGGGGAACCCTACCTGCCGCTAAGGACCTGCTTGTCCTAAGGGTATTATGTGGCAGATGGGCCTTGGATTTTGCTTTTGCCCCTGCAGTATTGCCAAAGCAGCCTCAGAGAATCAGCATTTGCTGTGATAGCAGCCAGAAATCACGTATGCTCACAGAGATGTCCGCATTTCCAATCTTCAGCTTTAAGGTGACAATCCTAAACCACCTCAGCTGGGAGCAGGCACCACTGAATTCAGTAGGACTTCCTTCTGAGTAGTCATGTGCCTTTCGAATGGTGACTGGGAGTGGCTGCCGAGACCACATAACACCAGTCTTGAAAGACCTACATTGGCTCCCAGTACATTTCTGAGCACAATTCAAAGTGTTGGTGCTGACCTTTAAAGCCCTAAACAGCCTTGGCCCAATATACCTGAAGGAACGTCTCTACCCCCATCGTTCAACCCAGACACTGAGGTCCAGTGCTGAGGGCCTTCTGGCAGTTCCCTCACTGCGAGAAGCGAAGTTACAGGGAACCAGGCAGAGGTCCTTCTCAGTAGTGCCGCCCCCTCTGTGGAATGCCCTCCCACCAGATGTCAAAGAAATAAACAACTATCTGACGTTTAGAAGACATTTGAAGGCAGCCATGTTTAGGGAAGTTTTTAATGACTGATCTTTTAATGTATTTTTAATTTTTTGTTGGAAGCCACCGGAAACCCAGCCAGATGGGCGGGGTATAAAAAATAAATTATTATTATTATTATTGATTGCAGTGACTTCTAGACTTGTGCCAATAAATCTTTCAGCATGGCTAGAGATAGTTCCTCCTATGTAACAAGCCTATCCCAGGGGATAGTGGTAGCTTTCCTCAACCCTTTTATTTCAGCAAGTTCAAACAAAACAAAACCACCTTCTCCTAATGAAAGCCACTTACTGATGAAGTAGTCTCGGCTGCCAGTCTTGCTGCATACCTTGCGATCAGTCTGTGCTCTTCATCTAGACGGTTTGGGCTGTCGAGCAAACTGTTGTGAGGGAAGGGCAAGCAAAAATTGGGAGAGACATTAATATATAGGTCGAGAGGAAAATATTCCGTAACCTATATAAAAAAAGTTACATAATAGAGGTTAATAAAACTATGAATCGTGTGGAGAATGTGGACAGAGGAAAATTACTCTCTCTTGAAACTCTAGCACTCAAGATCACTTCCTGAAATTCCCTGGCAGTTGAATCAGGCCAGACAAAATGAAGTATTTAATATATTGCACAATTAGCTTATGGAATTCATGGCTAAAAGATGCTGTGATATGTGCTGACAGAGGCAGCTTCAAAAGGATTTGACAAAGTTCATGGAGGAGAAGTCATTCAGTGGCTATAAACCATTCCAGCTAAATGCATCTCCCAAGTTCAGGGATAGTATACCTTTAAACACCATGGGAAATACTAGAGGAGGGCAAACAGTTGCTTTTCTGGCCAGTTTTTGGACTTTCCAAAAGCATCTGGCTGGTTACGCTAGGGAAATGGATGCTAGACCTGGAGCTGATCTGGCAGGGTTTTTCTTATGTTTCCAGCATGGCCTCTTTGCCATTTTGAATTTATAAAAATCAAGTAAACTTATTTTCCTCCTTCAGGAAACTTATCTTTGAAGGTAAAATATTTTTCTTTTGAAGATGAAGTATTTTTAATATCTTCTTTCATGTTTGATGTTATGTGAACATGTTATAACTATCTCCCAAAGGGAGCTAAAGGCACATTTGCATATTCTTTTAGGCTACTGTGATTCAAATATATTACTGTAACACTGAACATCAAAGAAAACATTAAATATATATAACAATGAGTGGTAACTTTACAGTACAATTCTATGCACATCTATTCAGAAGTAAGTCCCATTAAGTTCAATGGCACTTACTCCTAGGTAAGTGTAACTTTAGTTTTAACCCTAGTTTAAAACTAAACTAAAACTAGGATTTTAACCCTAGTTTATTAGATTTTAAGATTCCTCACACTGTCTTTACGGTAATGAAAGAGTACCTATAATTATGCTTTGGTGATACATAAATTAATAGATGAATTGTCAATAAATGGATTAAATTTAAATTAAACTGGTTGACAGTCCTCTTTTTATTATAATTTATTAATGGTTATTGACTGCTCAGAAGTCAGTCCTACTGAGCTCACTGATGCTTATGCTATGGTAAATGGGTATAGGATTACAGCTTAAGACTCGGTTTTTATGCTCTGTTTCATGGGGGAAAGCCCCACTGAGCACTGTGGGACTGACTTCCTGCGAAACAGAATAGTGTTGCGTAGCTTTAAGTTGAATTAGCAGTGCAAAGTCATGAATGTTTAGTCAGAGGCAAGTCCCACTCTAATGTGACCGACTCCCTGGTGTGTTTAGACCTGCAGCCTAAACTACTGATTAAATGAAGTAAAGCATGCTGGTTTTAATGTCAATAACAATTCTTTAACGAGTAGTACTCCAATTAAAAATTAATACAGTTATGAGGCATATGGGCATGTATTTGTATGAGATTTTCCTTCATATGAAACTTTTTGAGGTATTTAAATGCTTCAGCTTTGTTGATAACGCAGGATTTATCTTTGAATCTGGGATGAGGCAAAGTTCTGCAAATTTTATCTTCTACATTACAACACACTGTTTTCTAAATGCAAGGTAAGAGACCACTGGGAATTCTGTGTATGGTTTAGATTGTCTTGCTACAGACTCTCTCTCTCTCCCCCCCACCCCCATGAGAATGGATTCATCCTTCAGTAAAAACCATCTGCTTAAATGGTGCATGTATAAAAACCTGAAACTGAACAAAAAATGTGAAAGAAACAACACTTGAGGAAGAGTGAAGTATTTCATTCAGGACAACTTATTAGAAGCAAAATTTTCAGTCACATAGTTTTTAATTAAGCACCGGAATATATGATAAGTTTAAGTTTAAAAAATCAATAGATTGTGTTCAAGAAAATAAGCATGGCAAGGCAGAGTAGATGAAGGGCCCACAAGGACACTGTTGGAGATGCAACCCATGTCTGTGTCCTTTATACGTACAGATACACTGTGACCACAGTGGCCTGGTTCACACACACACACTGCTAAGCAAAATCATGGCACAGCACATACAAGCAAACATGGGGTTTCTGGGGAGAAGACAGTGGCCATGTTGATCCTCCTCTGGTTTTACTGCTGCTGCGCTGCTATAAGATAAGCCATGGTTTGGCCTAGCAGTACATCCAGAGTTAGGCTTGTGACAAATCAAGAGCAGTAAGCCATAGAACAAACCTTGGGGAGATCAAGCCTAAGTTTGAATGTAACACTAAACCAAATCAAGGCTTAGCTCACAGCAGTGCAGCAGAACTGGAGGAGGAGTGATGTGGTTGTGATCTTCTTTCTAGGAACCCACATATTTGCTTGTTCCCAATAAGCCATGGTTTGAATTGTGCAAACTGGGCCACTGTAACTATAAGGGAAGGGTGGAGGAGGTACAACATTGTCCCCAAGAAAAGTATTCTACTTTTTCCCATTAAGAGAAGATAGCAGTTAGTCGCAAATAAGGAAGAAAGGCTGAACCTGCCCACAGTTACCACAGAGTCTGGTGCTGAAGGCAGGATCCTTCCTTCCAAATCATCCATGCATGCCTAATTGTGCCTCTTGAATTGTGGGAGAAAGTAAAGATTTCCAATAGGAAATGTGCCCGAATGGGGGTGGGGGTGGGGTGGGGGGTGGAAGCTGATTGTTGTCGCAAAACTGCTTCCAAATATGCTGTGAAAGGCCAGGGGTATCCCAAATCCTTGTTGTAGTGAAAAAGTCATTAGATAGGATGGAAAACCAGAACAATCCTATACATCCTCTCCTCTAGGCAAGTTAAGAGGTGACAATTCCATCACTTGTTTGCTGTCATGACAACAGAACATGTGAACATACACTTGGACACTGTGGTTGGAAGTTTGTGGGAGAAAGTAATTCTATGTATTATTTTGATATATACTTGTATAATAATATGTGGGAAAGGGCAAGGCAACACCACTAGCTATTTCTCAGTTGATAGATTTTCTGAGACTACTAGAGTGTGCTAATTCACCCGAAGTCAACTCAGATGGCTCAAACAAATTAGTCATATCACACTTGCCTGGGAAAGGAAACAAAGACACCCACACTCCAGTAAACACAAGCCACTCTGATTTGAAGGAAAATTACTCCCCGTGCCCACATGCCAAAAATAAATGCAAGTTAAAAGTACATTTCATTTTTGAAATTTGCATGAGAAAAATGTTTATGGAACCAACACGCCTCAATTTCGGCTGATTTAAGTCATTTATGTCCCTCATGTCAGTGCAGCCCTCTGGGGACATTACTCCTATTTAACTGCGAGTATCCTTGGAGTTGTCAACTTTTCAACTGGCTGCTGTAAATACGTCTCTTAGCAGAAGGTAGATGCACCAAGATTAGCAAGTGATATTTCCATGCCATGAAAGTTTCAGAAATTCTGTGCATTAAACATACAACAGCAGGCTAGGGCAACTAGAAATCCATTCAATATCACTGATGCCTCCCAGACCATTTGGATGAGGCTGTACAGTATGTAGAGTTCAGAACTAATGTTATGTTAGCATCTGTGAAGATATGCTGTTTTGCTTTATTTGAGGATTTTTGTTTTGTTTTTTAGTGTTAGTATTTCATTAGGATGATAATGGCTTTTGGAAATGAACCACATGCACTGTAGAAGTATCAGTCATTGCTGCTACATGTGATCATTTGCTACCACACTGAATAGCAATCAGACCTGTATTGGATAAAGCTGTGGCTTGCATTCAAATGGCAATGGAAGATTCCCAATTGTCTCTACTCTGCATGCTCCATTACTTGTTATAAAAAGTTGCCCTAAACCTTTATCTGAGTTTGTCTCTTTGCAATTTCAACTAAATTGCTTCTGGTCCTAGTATCAGTGGACATAGTGAACAGTGGTTTTGCTTCCTTAGACTGCAAGCAGCAGATCTTTATTAGTTAGAGCTGGGAATTTTGTGGCCTGCTGTACAAAAACTTTATGGCCAGAATGCACTTACCAATTAAATGCATAACCACAGACATTAGCAGAGGGACAGTATCAGGACTGATGCCAGTCTATAAAAATTATATAATGCTCAGAAATAACATATTGCCTGAGCTCTTAAATATTCAGAACTATGCACTTCTCCACTCCCTACCACAAAGCATTATGTAATACATGGTTAGCTAATGTTAGCTAATTTTGCCTGTTAATATAATGGGAATGACTGGTGCTCTTTTCAATCAAGTATGTTAATACTGAAATCTTTGAATGTCAATATCATATGTTTTGCACTACACATTGCTTCAGTTTGAACTATAAAGGATTTCATTGTTTTTTTACCCATCCAAACCTTCAAAAGCATTCAATTTAAGGGTTTATCATGGCACACAGTTTCTTCTCCACACTGAGCACGTGGACTCAAACTACATCTAGCAAGTGTAAACAAAAAGGAATGGGCCTCAATCTGACTGATATAAAAAACAATTGACAAGTAAATGGCTATAGCTAGCAAGAAGCATAGACAGAGCAGGATGGCTTATTATACCAGAACACTCTGTTCAGAAAATTGTTGTTGTTGTTGTTTAGTCGTTTAGTCGTGTCCGACTCTTCGTGACCCCATGGACCAGAGCACGCCAGGTACTCCTGTCTTCCACTGTCTCCCACAGTTTGGTCAGACTCATGTTTGTAGCTTCGAGCACACTGTCCAACCATCTCGTCCTCTGTCGTCCCCTTCTCCTTGTGCCCTCAATCTTTCCCAACATCAGGGTCTTTTCCAGGGAAAATACCCATCAGTTATCTAACCATGCAAAAGGATATATTCACATGTCACGACGCAGGGAGCTTTCCAGTCTTACATGGAAAAAGACGTCCTTTTAAATACTGCTGAGGAAAATGTGTTTTACAGAATCCAAAACCAAGTTTCAGTCATGATCCCATACCTTAAATACTTCATGAGTGTGATGCCCAGCCTTCATTATTCTGTAGACACTATAGGGTGGAACCACTTTCAACCAACCTTTTATCAACTGCTTCTGAGATCAGTCTAAGGTACAGCTCTACAGCGGCAACAGAGCAGGCAAATAAAAAGTTCTCTTATTCAACCACTGTATTTCTTCACTTGAAAAAATATTCCAAAAAATACTTGAATCTGGGCATTCTGTCCTACACACTCTAGCATGGACTAACTGATAGGGTGCTGGACCTGAGGGATTTGAGATGAAATTTCTGCTTAGCCGTGAACCCCTTGGACGCTTGGATAAGTAACTGTCTTTATCCGAAACGACTGTTTTAGGTATAAACAGCATAAAGTCAGGAAAGCAATATGCAGATTAAAAGCGCAAAAGAAACGATTATTAGTAACAACCACTGCCAACAGTACAATCTGAAAAAACACCTAATTATGCTGATTACTGTAATGCTGCTTATTCATCAAGGCATTCAGATGTCACTTCCATATTAGAAAGTTGTAGATCAATATGTAATGATGAACATACACTTTATGTGAACTGAAGAGTGGTGGTCATGTGTGTCTTTTCAGTGAAATCATGTGCCTTTGACAACTGGATGTGAGAACTTTCATACAGATTTCACACAAAAAGAAACTTCAGAATATTCCTTACATATGCAGCAATTCTGTGGTGGCTCATGTAGATTGTCATCCAGTTGGTCAGTTAGTAGGATAAATGGGTCAGAGTATGTATAATATTGATAAGCACACTAATGATTGCCTTTTAGAGACTAACACAAATCAATGTGCATGGTAGTAATTCTATTGCTTATAATATTTAACAGTGCTGAAATCCAATGGAATGAGGACCAGGCCAGTCAGTTTAGTTTCTGTGCAGTCCTTTGAGGAGTTGCATTCTGTAATGGCCTGGATTCGTCTCTAAAGTTCCCCACCAAGGTGCCCAGCCTGCACTAACCGTGAGGGGTTGTTCTGGAGCATGTTGACATACAACCCAATGAGAACATGTTCATCAGCCAGCCTGTCTGCAACATCGAGGCTATACTGTAACCTGAAACAGGGTTGGGGGGAAAAGGGTATAGTCCGGACAGACAAAGAGAAATAAACAGAGAAAGCAGGAGCAAGTAAGAGTGTGAAATGGGAATTTGTAAATGAGCAGTCAAATGTATTTTCTCTCTCTCTTCATAAAACAAGTGTTGAAATGGTTATCAATTCCATCCAATCAAGGTAGAACTTAGAGATATTAAGAAAGTGGGCCTGCAAGACAAGAATATCAGCACCTACATAAACTAAAGCAGCAGAGATGCTCAAGGACCATGCAGGATCTGGCCTTGGATTAGTGCTACAATGAAGCATAATTTAGAATATAAGAAACTGCTAACCTTTAGCTCAAGTACTAAGCACACTTATTTTAAAGGGGAATTCAACTGACATCAGTCAGGCGAGCCAATCTACACATGCAACAAGAAAAGCCAACAACCATGTGACACAGTTCTTAGAATGAACCATTTCAAATGATATGTAGAACACTACATGTCAGAATGCTTGCCCATGCAAAATGTTTTTTGGACCTAGCAAACTAGTGGTTAGGTTAGAACACTCTCACACAATGTGCAAGGTTTTTGTGGCTGGGTATGTTTTGATGTGAGGGGGTCGAAGAAACATGTGATTTCCGCCAGAGGCATAGCTTGGGGGGCGGTGGCGCACTGGGCACCACACTGTGGGGGCAGCACTTACAGCGCAAGCCACATGTCTCTCCTGGGAGTGATGCGGTGGCTCGGGTGCCTGCAGGCTCTGAGCTGCCTGAAACAGCAACGTGGGGCTTGCGTCTGCCCTACAGCTGAGGGGGAGGCGGCCTCCATGAAAGCTCCACTTGCCCCACCCTGTGGGCAGCTCGTGCCACCCCAGGCGCCCAAGCAGGTACTACACCCCTGATTTTCCCAATATAGAATGAAATGCTACAGTCCTAGGAACTGTGCACTCCAATATCTTTCAATCTGTATAGATTGGCTCTTAGGACTGAAGTGCAAAATTTAACTACGCATACACAAATCTACATCAAAATGTAGAATTATCTGTATTTTAAGATGTCATAGCAAGACCTCAAGTGTGCTACTATATTTCATATGTCTCTGTTTATTTGTGCTTAATCCAGCTGGCAGATAAATTATGAGGAAACTAAAATTCTCCCGTTGTTGTTGTTGTTTTTGGAATGCACAGTATAGTCAGAGGAGATGGCATTTGCTTTAGTTGTGTTAGTGCAAGCTATTGATGCACTTTTTAAAACTTACCCTTTGCCTTTCAAAAAAGCTGGAGCAGCCCTAGCCAGAAATTTGTTCTGCTCTACTTCATTATTCTTGTAAGGAGAGCTAGTTAATGAGACAGGACAACTAAGACAGTAAACCATGAAGGCTGAAATCCACTGAACTCTACAACATAGGTAAGTGATTTAAGTAACAGATAATGCTAAAATTGCTCTAAAAGTCTAAAATGGACTATCAGATTTGTACAAAACAGAATGTTGATTTTCTACAAGTCTACTTCTTTGATTTACAAACATTTTAGAGGAAGCTGATACAACATAAGATTCAGCCAAAATGGTTTCTAAAACCCTATTTAAATTGCAATCCTCACATAACCACTTGAAAATAAGATCCACCGAGCTCATTGGAGCTTAGGAAGGTACATTTAGGTTTGCAGCCTTAACTTGTTAAGCTGCAAGCCACGTACTGTGTGGAGTGAGACTTTATGCTGCCAACTCTTTAGAAAGCATTTTCTAGGGTAGCATTTCAGCTAGGCAGGGTGGGGATGAAGTTAAGACACAGTTCTTCTCTTTGCCATTATAGAAGGATATTCTCCCCGTTATGGATGATCTCCAAGAAAATGTTCACATTGAACAAATATTTTTAAAATGATCTCTGATTTAAACATAAGAAAGTATTACAATCTTATATAGTACTCTACCATGCTTATTCGTTACTATATTCTTTTACGTTTGCATTTTTATGTTTAAATATATACAGAACCACAACAACATTTCTTGATGCAATTCTGAAACACGGCATAAACACTTTCTTTTCTGCTCCAGGTTTTCCATTCCGATTTATCCATTCCATAGCAATCTTTTCATGCCAGCTATTATAAATAAAATGCATATTATAGCCAAAGGGCTGCGTGCCATGTAGAGGAATGGATTTCTCCATTTACAACATCGTATAAGAGGCGATTAAAGTAGTTGTTGGTATAATGGAGGAGAATCCTTTACTTACTAAAGTATGAAGTCTGTTTGGGTTCCATTGAAATAGATAGCTTAGAAGTGAGTATTTTAGCACACTAATTTGGAAGCAGTTTCCCATGAAATCAGTGATATTTGCTTCACAAAGTGGGAATTATATGAAAAACTATGGCGTTCCATTGTTCAATTGGAACTCCATGAGTGCAAGGGAATACGCTACTCTTTTTAATACTGGGAATGTTCTATTTAAAGAAGAATTGTTCCATGCGCACAATGTAAGCCTTCAAATTTCAGTAGAAGAGCAGCACTTCATATGCACATTGGGGGGCCCATATCTGTATCTAGGCCACAGGATCCTGGTGAACATGTCAGGTTACAAATGATACAGTGTCTGCTCCTGGTTATGTTTACCACTCAGTGCCACTCCAGAAAAGTTATCTATCTGTGGACTTTCTTTCATGCTTCTAGAATCTGAAACAGATTCCAGTCTCCAGTTCTACTTAACTTGTGGGTGACACAGGCTTTTTCAGCATGGTTGGCCTTACCATGCATGCACAGATCTCTGTGTCAATGTGGTGCATTCATACCATTGTAGAATGCAGGTGGGGGAATCTCCCAAGCAAGCAAAAAACTCTCCAACATGGTGATTATCTACAGCTGTGTACAAATAGCCTATCTATTTTACACTCTCTGTAATGCACTGGAGCTAGTATATTTTTCTGGTGCATTGTATGGTGGGGGCAAGGGCAAGGGAAGCAGGGAGACAGCAACCATCAGACACAAAAAAGTGCTGAGAATATTTAGGTAAAATTCTCCTGACCTGTTATGCTTTTTCTAGTTAGGTGAGAAAAAGAAATGTCCCAGAAATCATCTCAGAAAAATATGTTCTGAGAGATTTCATCTCAGCTCTAGCTATATCATGTAACTTGTATGTTGACATTTGTTTTTCATCAACTAACTGAATAAAAGTGCAAAGAGAGGCAGTATTTAAGTAACATAGCAAATCAAAATGATGCCATATTCCTATGAAGGTGAGAAAAATCAACCACCTGTTCTAGACTTCTCAGACTGCCAGTGATCTTGCTTCCTTACAAATATTTGTGCTAGCACTGTATCAGTGAAATCTTTTCTCAGTTACAAACATGCCCTGAAAAAGGGTGTGTTTTTTTTAAAAAGATACTTTGATATTAATAGAAGGCAGTAGCTAAGCTATGGAAGAGAAATCTTGTTTCAACCTAGTTAAACAAGGCATAATTCCAACATTAACACAATAAGGGACATACTAAGGCTCCCTATCCAAGGCCCAGAAGACGCTATTATCACTCTCTCTTTTAATAATAAGGCCTGGGAGCTAGCCTAGCATTGCATTAGCTGATATGTTCACAGATATGGACCATACAAATGCTACCTCAAAAATGATATTGTACAGGTGGAAAAGGTACAGAAAAGGGCAAATGATCACAGGACTGGAAAGAGGAAACTTTACAACACCTGAGATTTTTTAGTCTGGAAACAAGAGTGGGCATTATAGAGGAGTATATAAGTATTCAAAGTATGGATAGCAAGATTTATTTCCCCCTCTCTCATTGTTCTAGAACCCATGCAATCCAGTAAAGGTGAATTGGAAGATTCAGTACAGACAAATACAGTTCAGATATGGAATTCAATCCCACAAAATGGTAGTAATGACCAGAGGATAAGACTAGCCACAATAAAAGTCTCCTCAGTTATGTGACATAGGCAACTCCTGTTCAGGAAAAAACACACATTTAAAGACTCATTGGGCTCGTGGGGTTAGTTTCACAATTAGATCATGTCCATAATATATTAATGGAAGTGTAGAATGATATTCCATTGTTTTGAAGACTGACAATTTATTGTGCCCGCACACATTCACTTCTTCCTATCTTGACTTACATTTTATATCAGTTTGACGTAACAGTTTGGTTTTAGTTGCTCAGTTATAAAAATGGCATGAGTATGCTTTTAGCTATCTAACAGAAAGAGTGTGACATCTACCATTTTCTGAAATGAGCTTAACATGCACAGTTAACTGGATCATTTATGGTCCTTCTATAAGCTTGTTGTTTCTAAACATTTTGACCAGTAACCTCTTAGTTGCTTTTACCAGGAGAAAAAATATCATGCTTTAAAAATAATAATAATTCTGTCCCAGAAAAAGCACCCAGGGGTTTAACAAAGTAACTTTGAGTCTAACACCCAGTGTTCAAAATAGGGGTGTTTGTACATGGCATGCAGAAACCATCATTAAAATTTCACATCTCTGCATAGATGCTACAAAGCTACTTTCTGAACATTTGCATTATTATAGAATTTCTCCACTTCTAACCTAAGAGCACAGAATTGGCACTAAAATTTCTATTCACAATTGTGCCCGTTCATATATAAACAAAACAGTGCATCAAACATTTAAAATTCACATTTATATTCGTATTCTGAGCCCTTGGCCCAATTTAAAGTGAGTTTACAGCTCAATATCTATGTCACAGTAATTCACAAGTGATAAAATTTGCTCCTGACATCACTTGTAAAAATGTCCTCTGTGGACTAACTGGCTTTAATTAAGTATGTGAAAAATCAAGATAGGTATGGTTCCTGCATGCAGTTTTTTATGCTTGTTCCTGGACCTCCAAAATTGCATACTCGTGACTAAGAACATAAACTTAGCCCTGTTGGATGAAACCAACAGGTCCATCTAGTCAACATGTTTTAACCAACAGCGGCCAATCAGGTACTTTTGGGAAGCCCACAAGTAGGGGATGAAGAACAGGTAGTTTCACCATACAAAAAGAGGCAACACCAGAATATTTATGTGGAAGTTATTTGAGACCATGTTATTCGAGCATCACTGCAGAATGTATGAATCAGTGCTATACACTAGAATTCCATGGGAAAAATATTTATGGGAAGTAAAGTGAAAGAGCAACATAGACTATTAGATTTCAATACACTGGATAGTAAATTATTGTCAAAGAGTACAGATCCTCTAAAATATAATGTCCACAATGAACAAAGAGCAAGAGATATGTGGTGTACAGTGAACTCAAGTGATATTAAATGCATTGATTTTATACAGGCATTTCACACTTACTGCGGGACTTTCTTCACTACTGTAACATAAAAGATGCTGCTGCTGCTATTTTACTATATTGTTTTGTTACCTTCTTAGTAAGTCAGGGTCACAAACAACAGAATGTATGTAATAACATTCAAGAAACACCCAGGACTGCTCAGATAAAAAGCAGGTTTTATAGATTTCCAAGTTTCATGTTAAAATAATTCTGCACAAATAACCATCTACTTAAAAGTTTACATTATATTTCAATGTCAGTGGCAAGCTGCAGTTTCTGTGTGATATATTTCAGCAGGGAAACAGCACCAGATGAAAAGGTTAAATCCTATCCCCATGCTGTCAATCTGGATCAGAGCCATTGCAGTTGCTTTTTTAAAGAAAAATGTATGGGGAATCCCAAGCACAGGACTCGAACACACCATTAAAACAACTTCTATTTTAACCCTCTGTAGTCCTTAGTGGGTCCACTGGCTATTAGGGACACTGAGAGGCATCACTTACAGCTGTGCTGATTGTACATAATTTAACATTGCCCACTCTGTAACTGGTTTGCCAAGCCAACCTCAACTATATGCGGGAAGCTGCATCCCTGTGTGAATTGGTGTGCCTTTGTAAGAATTATGTAGCTTCTTTTTGAGCTGCGTTTTGGAGGAAAGGCACTAAAATTAAACTAGACAGGTCAGCAGGCCTAAGGGTTAAACTGGGGCAAGTGCATGTTATTCATTTAAATACTTGCCCTGTGCAAAATGCAAGATAAAAGGATGGTTCAAGCTCAGCATGAGATCCATTTGAAGTCTCATTAAAACCACAGTATTCCTTTGTCTAAAAAACAACCCCCGTTAGTACTCCTGAAGAATGACTAATATATTAATGTACTGATTTTAATGTACTAGCTACAGAACTACATCAGTTAGTAGTTTAGTGCTCTTCTTATACTGACCGTAAATTGTTGTGAAGCTGATTTACATACAGCTTTATAAGAGAGTGCTCATCAGCCACAGGACTGGCTATATTTATACCCTCATGTAACCTGAATGATTCAAACAATGAAATCTCATTAACAGTCTGTGCAAACAGAAATACATGGGGATACGTTTGGTGGGGAAAGCATTTAGTTTACAGCCATAGTGGATAGGATACTGACATAAATGAATGAATGAATAAATGAAGGTTTCAAATTAATAAGGACTGGAAGCAAAACACACACACACACACACACACACACACAAACAAAACAAAACCCCACCACGATTGGATCCGACTGCACATTAATTCACTGAGATGTCATTCAGAGAGGGAAACATAAGGTTCAAAGAAAATGTAGACAAGTGACCTCTGGGATCCATCACAGAATAGGACAACAGTTGACATGGATAACAAAACTTGGCTGGCAATAAAGGAGATTGAACATCAATATTCAGGTAATAAGCCTCCTTGCACCTAGGAAGTTGTTATTTCATCCATGCCCAATTCATAGTACCTGAACATGGAGTACAACCAACCTTTGCATACAAACATCGAGAAACAGCTTACCAGGTGAGGCAAAGCTGCTATGCTGGATTCCTGGCCAAGTGGGTTGCTGTTGCTTATTCGGATGGAGAGTGGCGAGTGGGAGGGAGGTTGGCACAGGGCAAACACTCAGGCAGAGCCAATCCAGTGCTCCTGCCAGTGCATTGGGCCAACCTCCCTGTCACTGTTCCTCTCCCGGTAAGCAATAGTGGCCAACCTACTGGGAAGCTAGCATAAAGGCTCAATCCTGCCCAGCAAGCCATTTCAGCAAACATCTCGGAATCTTCCTTTACTTAAATACACAAAGGATGGCAAACATATTGCCCTGCTATCAGGGAGGCAAGCCAGGTGGATCATATTAGGTAGGCAGCACTGGATTTAGGGCAGTGCAAGTGCTTCACCCACACAGGGCACTGAGCTGAGGGGGCACAAAATAAATAATAATAATAATAATAATAATAATAATAATAATAATAATAATAGCATATTGATCCATTAAAAAGCAACTGTGCCAAAATGAATTATTGTGAAAATGAATTATTGTGAAAATAAGACATATTTGGGGACGTGCCCAATTTTGTTCTTGCCAAGGGCATTATATTATCAAAGTCTGCCCCTGGGGTGGGGCAGAGCAATGCTCTGTAAGACATAGAGACATCTAACCTGCAGCTTAATAAATGCAGAGTGGATTCAACAGGAGCAGAAGGTCTGAAGGAGGTAAAGTGAGGAGAGATGGTCAGAGAAATTGAGACACAGCCAGAAAGGAGTATAAGTGAAGCAGTGCAGCGAAAGAAAAAAACACTGGTAAGAGGGGGAGGCTAGAGGCAAAGAAGTGGATGCAATTAAAAACAGTAGGAGGATAGTGAGCGATTGAAAAGTTAGACTAGAGACTGAGAAAAGAAGCAAGAGCAGCAAGGAGGGAGCGAAGAGTGAAAAAGACAGTGAAGTGGAAGGGACTGAGCAAGCCCTGCTCCAAAAGAGCAATTGACAGGTTAGAGGGGCAATAAAAGGAATTGTGAAGGGTGACTTAAACCATCTTAGTGGCAAGCTATCAAGAAACACAAAAGTAGTGGGCGTTTGCCAGGATTCAGGTTACATAGAATCCTTAAATCATTGTGTGTGTTTTTTCATATCAGAACAACTTGGCAGCAGGTCCTCATCTGTTTCTTGGTATTTAAGTGCCTACAGTCTGCTTCTAAGGATACTTTCAGATGTATCCTGTGGAAGCTTCAACCCTCTGGATTACACCGATTATGGATTGCATCCCAACCCGTTCCATACTGTGGCCATGCCTCTCAAACCAGTCCTACTGCTAATCTCTATGGTCACAGTTGACTTGGATTGATTAGAGATGAACGGATCATTCTCTCTCTGGTCCATGTAATTTTTGCATGGGTTCACCTGTAGATGCATTGCAGCCCATTAATCTGTGATTTTAAAAAGTAATAATAAAAGAAATCTGCATGCATGCACATAAAAATCACATTTAAATATGTATTTTAAAATGTATTTCTTCTTAAAATATGCATTTTAAAACATACTTGATTGTTTGTTTGTTTGTTTGTTTGTCAAGACCTGCTAAATGCAATGGGTAGCTATATCTGCACATTAGTCCAGGAAGTGTGGATCAGGTCAGTTCATATCTTAATTTGCAAAGACTGAGTTCCCCAAACATCCCTAATTCTGCGTCACTAGAACAAAAAAATAAAAAAGCAAAAAAGCACCTAAACGAGCAACTCTATGGATCAAACTCAATGCTTCAATTTCAACAAACAATGCTATGTTGGAGAATGAATAGCAAGCTCAATGACTCATCTTTCCTCATAATGTATACTCATCTTCAGAGGCAACTTCTTGGTTTGTTATATCATAGTTTCCCTGTGATTTCCAAGCCAGGAGACTGGTTTAAGTGTTCCCGACAAACCAGGATTGCAAACTAGGATCCAACTATGGTTTACAATTCTGGTTTGCATAGAATACTTAAATCACTGTTTCTTAGTTTGTATGTCACAGAAAAATGGCTTAATAACCAAGGGAGGATTGTGAGAGGAGGAAGGAGAAAAAAAAGGAGTTATTGAGGTTGTTGCTCATTCTTCCTCCAACAAATCAGTGATTTAGATGGAGATGTTATGTCCCTTTATTCATGTGCATCTCTGAACCCTGGGCATGGTTTGAAAGCATAGGATATAGCGAACCTGATGAAACAAAGCAGATTTGGAAGAAAAGTGGAGATATTAATGTAACAAATAAGTTTAGTTTCTCAGTTTAAAACAATTAAGATATTGAGCATTCTATGCCTGTTTTCCATTATTGCTTTCATGAAGTTTGAGAAGCTGTTATACAATAAAACAGGTACTCTTATTTGAAAACATATCAGGAAGAAGACTCACCTTCTGTTTGTGAAAGGGCTTCCTGAGGGAACAGAGTGGGAGAACAATGTGTCATTCATGCTGGTGACTGGTCTGGGAGGCCTTGACAAAAAAACAGTTAAGAAGTATATTGTTTATCATGAGCATCAAATACAGAAGCTCAACACCCACAAATACATTTAGTCAATAAGAAGCTGGAATATTCTATTTTTGTACTCTAAATCTATATTTTTAAAAATAAAGGCTACAATCCTGAACACACTGTGAGTGATTCCCATTGAACTGGGACTTACTCCTGAGTAAACACTTGCATTTAACTTTTACATGAAGTAACAGATCTGAGTGTTAGAAAAACATTTTTTTTTTAAGATTCTGAAGTATTCTGTGTGCAATTTGCTTGCTCTATCCTGCTTCAGTAAAATCATTGACTGTGTTGTATTTTTGTGAAGCTAATGGAAGCAGTTCATAAAGGAGAATTGATGTAGAATTGTTTCAGCAGCCTTCAAACTGTACTGTTTGACTTCTTGTTGGTTTAATAGTCTAATATTTCCCCCCGCAAAGAAGCACACAGTCCCTTTTTTGAGAGCCCTCTCTGACTCAAATGTCTCAATTTCCATTTCTAACAACAAAAAATCTCAATTTAGATGGCCACATAGTGGCTGCTTTAAACCTAAATTGTGTGGAAGCTTCTGTGTAGGGAGTCCTTCATATGTAACAGCTGTATGAACTTACATTTTCACAATGCCACAACAAACAGTTCCTTTAGTATGTTTGCCATGGTGAAAACCAGGGGATCCACTTGGTGCAGAATTCACACAAACAACTCCACATTCAGAGTGTAGACACTATTTGAATTTTTAAAGTCATCACATGTTAACATGAAACATCAGCCCACCAGAGATTACAAATGGAAAGAACCAAACAGAATCCACTTATTCAATAACACATTTATGATGAGGAGTCGTCAGTTTTTCCTTAAGCCTGAAGATGTTATGTTCAAGTAGCAATGAAGGGGAATTTGAAATATACAGGTATCACGCCAAGTTGACTAAGACACATACAACAGGAGTTTTGCAAAAGATTTATCCTTCATTTGCTGTTTAGAAGGTTCAGATAGGAATTGTACTATGATTCTTACGTTAATGAGGAACTTTAGGTTATTTCATGCTATAAATGTACACAGAAACCCACTTGGACAGCAGACAACAGCCCCTTTCACACAAGGTTGTTAGTTCCTTTGCATTCTTTTACTCATACCTTAGAAATTGCTTTAAAATTATCTGTAGGACAATCAGAAGGGTACTGGAGTGTTAGGCTTAAAAATAGCCCAAAAAGAATAAAGATTTTGCCTGAAGTGACTAGTTTCCAAAAATGGGAACAATACTAAGGTGGGAAGCAACTGCTTATTTTATTTATGTAAATGTATTAATTTTATTTAAAGGAATCCTGTTAGGAGAATAGGATGCTGCCTTGTACTCAGTCAGATCATTTTCATCTAGCTGAGTATTATCTCCACTGACTGGCAGCCACTCTCCAGGGTTTTAGACTGGGGTCTCTCCCATCCTACCAGGAGATGCTGGGTATTGAATCTGGGACGCTCTCCAAATGAGACAGATGCTCTATGGTCCTTCCTGTTAATCACCCTTCTTATGCCACCTCTTGTTGCCAGAACAAGTGGGGAAGCTGCTGTGCTCCAGTGACTACAACACAGGTTGTGTATTGTTCTATACTTGGGCCCTATGATAGAGGACATCTCAGCCCCAAATATTTGCATTTCAGCAATGTAATATCAAATGCCCTGTTGCAGAGAATGCAACCTGCACGCAGAAACAGGTTCCTGTATGCGGTGCCTATGTGCCAAATATGCAAAAGCCAGCTGTGTGAGGAAAGCAGTAAGCTGTCACTGTTGGCTCCTCCTGCCTGTGAATAGCAAATCCCAGCAGGAACTAAGGAATTCTTCTAGTTCTTGAGAGAAATCACCACACTTCTCTCTGTTGGTTGGGGTTGATGGGAGTTGGGGGTCTAGCAACATTTAGAGGGCACCAGGTCGGGGAAGGCTGTCAAAGTGTTTCCCATATAAATTCTCTCTCTCACTATTCCAGAGAAGGTGCTAAGCCTACAGCTCACTGCTCAGAGTGATGTTGATTCTGTTTTAATAGTGCTTCTGATTGGCTACAGCAAATCTCACAAGGTCTGTTCTTCACCACCTAGAATACATAGGTACAAGCTTGCAAAAACATCTTCAGTGATGTCCTACAATTTATCATCAACTGTTTCCTCATGGTAATGGGCTTGCAGTACCCAGGCACCTATTCCTCCACCCATACTTGGGTCTTGTATTCTCACAGTAGTAATAAGCAGTTAGGCATGGAAAGAAGGATGCCCAGTCAAAATCTGGATCCCTTTCTCTCTGTTCTCTAGTCATGGGATCTTCTAGAGACTTCAGGAGAAAGGTTGATAGTAGAAAAAGAACCCTCCTGAGAAATAAAATTGCATACTCAATAATTCGTATGAGATTTCCAACCATATCAAAAATGTACTAAGGGGTAATGCTTTACTTACCAGGTATCTCTTTTGCAGCAAAAAAATGAAATAAAAAGAAGCTATTAATTAAGTTGAAAGATTTAATTTTTAGAAAGTGTCAAAGTTAGGGAAATTCTATCTATGCCATAGTTAATACTCATCTTATAGGCTCAGCCCCTCTTTCCTGACAAGTTGCCCCATGATGGGGTAACAGAATGGGTCATGCATGTAGGGCTACTGAAGTTTATCTCCACAAGATAACAAGTTATTTATTTTGTCAGAATTTCTAGCAAATTCCTATGTCCAGAACACTGAAACTATCTAGAGGCTATATATATTGAAATGAAATTGAAATAGTTTATTGTCACTTGTACAACTTGTATACAGTGAGATTACACGAGCACCCTCCACTCAGCTCTCTTAGTCTTAATTCCCCTCGTTTACTGACGCACACCCACGAAACCCGAAAGTCAGTTGCCCTGTTTATCTTTTCATTCAGTAGCCTAACAGCCCACGGAGAGAAGCTGTTCTTTACCCTGTTGGTGTGACTAATCATGCTTCTATATCTTCTGCCCGAGGTAAATATATATATGGCTACCAGTTGTAATATTCACTTTTCTCAAATTCAGCTGGTACAGATTAGAATTTGAAAAATATGTATGCTCTCTGTTAACTGGGTTGAAACAGCTGATTATACTTCCTTCTGCCCTTCCCCCATGTTATATGGCAAGCAGCCTTTAATGCTCAGGGGAGTGAACTGCATTTGAAACTCAGGTGAGTTTCCCATATTCAACTGTGTATCAAAATCAGTTTGTGAAATGGCACACAAGTCTGTTGAAAGAGAAGGAAAGACTCCAGCTCAGTGTTCGCAAGTGCTTGCCTGTGCTTGATCTTGAATCCCAGCTATAGGATATGATGCAGTAAATATGAAAATCAAGCTGTTGACATTTAAGATGTTTCTGATGGCTGTCAAGTAAAATATACGTTAAATACTGAATTTTCTCCAATAGCTAATAAGTAATTAACAAAACCTGAGGAACACTTTGTAGAGACTCTGATAGTTTAGTCAGCCAGTGGTTGCATTTGCTTGTTTGTAGGCAATGGCCATTACAACAGACAGGTACAGTGTTTAAATCCCATATGGGCAACTCATGGCCCACAGGTGGACCTCAGACAACTTCTGTGCAGCCCACACATCCCATTTTCACTATAGGTTGCAGGTACAGTTGCAAAGCACTTGGATGGGAGTGCTCCTCACCTATTCCCAGCACCTATCAGCAGGAGAAGATTTGGGATAGGATTGCTGAGATCCCATTGTGTGCCTCTGACCCTCACGACTCTCCAGCTGCTTAGTGAAGAGAACTTAGTGAGGAGGAGAAGGAATTATGTGATGGGATGTTCTCATCCCTGCATGGAGAGACAGGGGGGAAATGTGTTTGTGTGTGGGGAGGTTTTATATTTCTCTGTGTTTTGGAGGTGGGGTGAGGGGAGGCTAGGCTCCACCCATGTCCTTCACTAGCCCTGTCCAAGTCCTGTATGGGACCATTATTGAACACCCGCCATTGCATGAAACCCTTGGGGCAGAATCTAGTCTCAATGGAAAACTGAGCAGCTGCAGTATCTCGGTGAACATATCAATATCATCATGCAAAATGTTAAATTCAAGATTGCAGTTTACCAAGGGATTTCTTTTTTAAGATAGAAAGGTCATTCTTCTCTCAGGTCACGCCACGAGTGCATTTCACTGATGTGAAATTCACTACTTGGTTGCTTACAGCATTTACTCAATGGAATTTAACAATGTTTGAACCAAGTGTTTACTGCTGTGCCCCCACTTACACTGGTAGAGTCACTCATGGTAGTAAATACAATGTTAAAACCAGCATATAATGAAAGTGCAAATGCAAGCGTAGCTCTACAAAAGATTTCTGTCCTTACTGTAAGTGGCTGCTGCAGGGGGAAGGAAGACTTTCCTTACATGAAGCCTACCATTAAAAGTGGCTGTAAATACCCCTTTTGCTGGGATGCTTGCCTAGAGCTTTTTCTCATGATACGGTTTATCTTCCATTACATTTAAGAATAAAAATCAGTCTAGTAAGAATATATTCCCAAGGACTGCATGCAGCATATCTTTCTGTGTTGCATATGATGCTCACTCCACAACTGGTTCGTTTTAATTTCTGTATTATTGTATTCAACATTGCTTTCAACCGCCCCCCCCACCAGAAAAAGTGAAAATAAAATAGCAAACACTCTCACTGTCAGGAACAGATATTTTCTCTTAGGAAGGAGGTAATGTCCTAGGGCAGGTGTGAGGAAATGTTGGCCCTCCAGATGTTGCTGAACCACAACTCCCATCAGCCTCAGCAAGCATGGTCAATAGCCAGAGATGATGGGAGTTGTAGTTCAGCAACATCTGGGCTCCCTACACCTGTCCTAGGAACCAGATTGCTGGTTGTTTTTGAAATCCTTATAAGAACAGTGCTCAATTCCCTTTCACATCCTGGTATATTTTCTTGTATGTGAATAAATTGACTCCAGTCCAGCTGAAGCTAATTGTGACAAAAGTTGAATCCTCTGCACACTTCCAATAAGTGAACAATTCCCACTGAAAACGTTGGGGGGGGGGAATACTTTCTTGCATTGATCTTAATGGGATATGATCTCAACTAACTTTAGTGAAGTGCAGCCATTGCCTTCTGTATAAAAATACAGGTAGAAAAGAGTTATGCAGAAGTCCTTTCTCAGAGTAGCTGATCCTGGATAATGCAAAGAAGAGGATCATGTTTTGCTTCAATTTCACATTTCTCTCTCTCCTCCTCAGATTTTTGCAAGTGGAGATATAGTATAATAAGAGTAGTTGTTCAGGGCCTTGCCAAGTAGGAGAGTTAGGTGACCTGCTTCAGGAGGCACTGAGAGGGGTAGGGGATAGAGGAAGGCATAGCTTGGTATCTGAATGCTGTAGCAAGGCATTTTAGTGTTGGCCCCAGCTGGAGGTCAGCTGGAGGTGTGGGGAGGAATGAAGGCTCTGCTTCGAACAGAAAGATCTTTTAAGCAGAAAAATGCACATATTTGCAGTATATTTATTTGAAGTCCCCATACAGTTATTCTTTTCTTCTTAAACCATGAAGGTACTGGCTAATTTGTGATTTTCATTTAAGGCTATAAGGGCAAGTCTGAAGACCCAACTATACTAACCTGAACTAAATAGCAAAACTCTCATCAATATGTTATGGCTCTCAGCTATAAACCATAGCATTACACCAACTATTCACAAAAATGTTTCCTTTTGAGCATAACTGCTTGATTCATTTGGCTTTCATCAATTTTTCAGCAGCTTGCTTCCATTTAACCTGGGTAGGGGAACCTGTGGTCCTCCAAACACTGTGGTCTCACATCACTTCTGATCATTGGCTATGGTTGCTCTGGCTGATGGGAAATAGACTCTATAAACATCTTGAGGGCCACAGGTTCTCCATCCCTGACTTAAGTAGTCAACCTTTTATTTTTGACATCTAAGGAATGGAATAAGTAGAGGGTCTAGCATTTCAAACTAATATTCTTAGCAGGTGCAAATTTAATTTAAAAGGAATTATCAAGTAAGATGCTGTTTTGAAAAGCACTATCGACGATTCTATGATTTGGGAAGGTTAAACAAATAGTGTGCTTCCATTACAGCTTCATCATAATGAGAACAATACACTGTTCAGTCTTCCAATGACAGCTCATTGCTTTAGACTGATCTTAGTTAATAATCATAGCCCAGTATTTAATATCTGCGTGAGAGTCTTCATGTCAAAGCAGGCTAAGTGACTTCCAACAGTGCTGCCAACCACAGACAGTCATTATGTAATATAATGTTCCTTGTGTTTTCTACAAAACACATGCAACAGTGAATACAGAATGAACAGCCACATGAAGGAAGTTTTGACTTGAGGTAAATGGAACACAGAACATAAAAATAAATCTCTGCGATGGAGATCTGAACCACTTTAAGAACCACAGGAGTGGTAGTAGTTACTGTAAAAAAAACCAAACCCCATTAAGCAAATCACAATTATTATCTGAATATGCTGGGAATTATCCTTGTCAGAATGATCCTATCTAAACAGCTGACTATCTGAATGTTTATATATCCCTGTGCCCACTCAGCTATATGAATGTATAATTTAAAAGTGCTTGTGGGAACATAATTGCCTACAAGTCACTCAGATGCTCTAGGGATTCAGAGAAGAAATCACTGGAATATCAGAAGCCCACTTCTTATTGATCTGATTTTGAACTGAGCAGTAAAGGAAGTGCAGAGCTTATAATACATGCTGCTCCTTTTAAGCCAACTAAGCTTTTGAGCAGGCTTTTGAGGCTACAAAGTTATCCTCTCATAACTCTATAGTGGCAAACGCTCCTCTGTGCATGCCTTAAGGCAGGAGTTGTCAATGTGGTTGTCCTACAGATGTTGTTGAACTACAACTTCCATCAGTCCCAGCAAGCATGACAAATGGTCAAGGATGCTGAAAGTTGTTGTTCAATAACATTTGGAGGGTACCACATTGGCTACCCCTGCTTTAAAGCCATTTCCAAACACCATTTTTTGTAAAGACTGTTTCCAAAGAGAGGTGAAAAATATATATCATAGGAGTTTGGAGTAACCGGTGCTGGGAAAATACACCAGTTGTTACGTACACAGAGATATAAATTGAGATTCTGCATGTACATCTGAAGCAAAAGTGATTAGAATGTATATGGCTGCTGTTGGATCTCTAGCTTGCCAGATTCTAACATGCTGAATTACCATGCCAGTCATTTCTCACATAACCACAATCCCAGAAATCAGATATCCAGGCCTGGATATGGAGTGCTTCATGTAAATACTTTTATCAAGGTTGTTTTTTATTCTGCATTCATGGATATCACCAGTATCTTCCTCAACTCCAGATACTTACTTCTCCCATCCCTGTGGGCCAACGTTGACAGGTAGGCAGGACTGTCTACCTGTCAAATCATCAGGTCTCCTAATGATAGCAGGTGACTGACACCTGTCCAAGTTCAGAGGACGTTGCTGTAACTGCCGATCAACAGTTATAGGAAGGACCTTTGAAGTCTCTGAGAAAGCATTTTGAATTCAAAGCACTTTCTCTAGTGCTTTACACCCCATGGGGAACTCCTTAGGACAGCCCCAACTATCAGCTGACTGCCAGCTATGCAGGACTCTCTTGAAGCAGTAACAATCAGCGGCTAGCCAGAGCTTCAAAGTGCCTTGCAAATGGCTTTGCAGACATCATCAATCATCTGATCAGCAGTGCCTGAAAACTTTTTTTTTTTGGCCAAGCCACTGTGATGTCATATATAATATCAGATGCAGGGCCAGTGGGCAGGGCTTAGCCAAAATGGCCTAGTGGGTCTCATTAGGCCTAAGGACTAGAGGTTCCTCACCCTTGACTTACAGGGTCCCTGAAAAGACTGCTGAGAGATGAACTTCCTATTTCTTCAAATGGCAATTTCTTTAATTTGTAGAAATGTAGCTTTCCTACATTTTTGACTGCGCTTCCCTACTTCTTAAAAGGAGCACATTGCAGCTGCCACATAATACATATCTAAGTTATGGAAAAATCAAGGCATAGTTATGTGAAACAGTTAAAGGAAACAATTCAAAGCACCTTTGTTCCACCTTGTCTCACACAGGCTATCAGATTTCATAATTCATAACTGTAATTCCTGCAGGAAACCATTGCCTGTGTGTGAACTGAGGCATGTATTTTAGAAAATCTCAATTTTGAGAGAACTGGTAAGATAAATAATTTGAAATCTGCTTCCATATTGGAGCATGTCAATTTCTACTTTCCTTTCTTTACCTTTTAGATATTTAACTCTTTCACTGGTCAAAACAGAGCAGAGTCATTCAGCTGTAGCCTCCTGGTATACTGAAGACTCACTAAACTGAAATTTTAAAAAACACACACCAATATTTCAGAATGCTATACTATGATGCTAAGCAAAAATGAAAAAAAAGATCCAGTGTTTCCCGTTACTTTTCAGTATCATGAAGCTAAGTTATGCTTAAATCCATAATACAATTGGATAGTTTAATAAGCAGCATTTCTAGAGAACACATAAAGAGGCCTCCCTCCATCTGCCTTCAAACCAGGATGAACAGTAGGTCACCTAGAACAAAGGATATTATCTACAGAGCACACAAATACTTACACAATATGAGCCAAGTTTAGAGGTTTTTCAGGCTGGTCAGGGAACATTGGGTGCAAAGGTTCACGGCTGGAAGCACAGCTTAAAGACTTGCTAAGTGCATTAGTTAGCTTCTTAGCAGGTGATTTCTGGGAGGAACAAGGAAGGTAAAGGTAATTTGGACAGGTAAGGTTTAAATTGTTTTTGCAACCACAGAACTATGGGGAAACAAAGCAATGCTCTACTAGTTAAAGGCATATCTCTCCCCCGACCCCAACCCCAAGACCCACTTATTCAGTGGCTCCGTATTATGTCCTGAGTTGCATCCTCATGAGGCCGGAGGAACATCGCCCGACTATTGTTTTATTGATTTAATATGCTGTAAACTGCTTTGAGATTTTTTATTAAAAATATAAAGAGGTATAGAAATAAAATAAATAAAATAAATAAAATCCTTTAAAGAGAGAGAAGCTGCACAATCTCCCAGTTCATCTTTCTCCTTTCTCCCACAGTGAGAGGATTGAGAGAGAGGACCCAAGGCCTGCATCTGATCTCTCCACTGGCACAATCCCAGGTGAAAAGTACATTTGAAAAGCTGCTGATGACATAGTCAGAAGTGAAAGAGAGCAAACATTTCTATGACTAAAAAGACCATGTTTGCCCTAAAAGGATTAGGGACAACAAACAGATATGTATAGAGTACGTACACTTCCTTTAGTAGCCTATCAAGGGTATAAATGAGTCGTCGTCGTCGTCCCCCCCCCGCCCAGTAAAGGAACCAGGTACCTGAGTGTATGATCCCCAGGCAGAATTTTCTACCCATGAACAAAGGCAGGATCAGATACAGTTTGTTTTCTAAATGTGCAGACCTTTGAATAAACTGGGTTTCTAAGGTACACATCATCAGTACAAAAAGCTGTGCAATAAACATCAGCACAACACTCAATCAAACCAGATCCACACAAAAAAATATAGATTGAAAAATAAAATAATTACGGTGAATCATACTTCATTCAGGCTCACTTTACTCAGTCCTTAACACTTAAAACACTTAAAACATGGTAATCCATGCCAAAGAAGTGCGAGTTCAGAGGCCATTACTAAAATAATATTTTCCATATTCCTGATTCACTACCTAACTGGGCACTACCTATCTTCATTTATTTAGGGCTGCCATATGTCTGGGTTTTACTGGACATTACCAGGATTTCAAAGGTGGAATTGACGTCTGGGGGGAATTTCCAAAAGGTGGCACTTTGTCCTAAAAAAAAGCTCTCAACAACTTTGGGGTGTCCTGGTTTTTACTTTTTGAAATATGGCAACCCTAATTTCTTAATCATTCAGCACTTTTTTTTCTGGGGGGACGCAAGGGTACACATACCCCTAAACATTTTGTGAATCTAAAAGCATGTAACTTATTTATATATATATATAATCTGTTGCATAGACTCAAATGTGCATCTGATATGAGCTTAAGCCCCAGAAATTTCTATTAACTGAGTTGTGGCTTAAGGGGACCATACACTGGGACTCTTATAGAAATAAGCTTATTAAATATTATTAATAATAATAATAGAATGCATATGCTACCTTTAATTTTAAAAAGAAGCTAAAATGTGGTTTACAAACAAATAAAACACACAAAATAAAAACAGTTCAATAAACAAAGTTAAAATAGAAATTGCAGTAACCACCAATACCTGGCACTGGTATTGTGAACTGCCTCGTAATCTTCAGACGAAGGGTGGTATAAATTTTTAATAATAATAATAATAACAATAATAAGTCAGGGAAATGCCTGGGTAAACAGGTATACTTCCAGTTGTTGACATAAACATTCCATGGTTGCAGCCTGCCTGACCTTCAAGAGGAGATAATTTCACTGCTCAGGAGCCACCATGGAGAAAACCCTTCTCTGCCCCACGGTAAGATGTATACCTGTGGACCATGGCATGCTAACAGGGTAACCAGTGCAAATTATGGAGACCTGGATGGTCTACACAGAAGGAGGCATTGTTTTAGAGAACTGGTTCCAAGCTGTTCACAGCCTTGTAAACTAGAACTAGAATGTTACACTTGACTCCGTAGCTAACTGGCAGCTACCAAAATGAGACAAGATCACACATATGTTTCATCTGAGTGCAATATAGAGTTCATGTTGTTAGAGATAGTCTGAAAAAGGTTAAGAAACTATGGTGGCTGAATGTTAATGAATATATAGCATGCCTACACTTCTACTGACTTTATATAAACATATTTCATAAAGTAGCTGAATGGTAAATCAACATCTTCCATTGTTCTTCTTAGATCTAGATTTTTAAGATTCCATTTTAGATATTGATCTCTTATCATATAAAGCAGATAATATGAGAGAAAAGCCAACATATTTGACTATGTCCTACAAAAATGAACAACTTACTGTGGAAATAGTTTTATATTCCAAGACCTTCCTGCAGCTCTCCTGACATCCAGAACAGTATTAACATGTTGGACTGCTCAAATCCACACTGAGGATAGCCATACTGTTCAGTTCTTCCCATTTTTCATCTCAGAACTGACTGGGAACAAGGACCACAACTGGGGCTTCTCCATTACAGAGACGCTTAGCTAAACTGGCAAAGTTAGTTTCCTATATGTGGTTTTAAGGGAAAACAATTCGGTCAGTTCCAACTCCCATCCTTGAGATTTTCTCTGACTGGTGGAGTTCAAACAGTCTGCAGCAATTCATGAACCTTCCCTTACCCATGACGTGTATTCTTTCATTTGGTGCTGGTTGCTATGGGAACCACTGGCATGTCCCCTCCAGAAGCAATCTTGACAGAGCTGGTAATTGTGACACTGCTGGCATCGATAGCGAAATCCCATCATGCTCTCGCTATGGCAGTAGGAACACTCGACAGGGTGGAAGACTACAAGGGGAGACGGATTTAAAAACAAAACAAAAGACAATCAGCGCAGCGTTAAAACTGAAGCCACTAAAAGGTCTTAGCAACCTACGTTTGTGTCTGAAGTCATTTTCCACAGCAAATGTTATTCGTAAGGTTCCTGAAATTTAAAAGCTTCACAATCTTCTCTGAAGACAAACAAGCATCTGCTACTGTCTAAGAGAAAACCTCTTATAGCAGCAGAAAACCAAAACAGGAAAAGGTGGAAGTGTGGAAGAAAGAATGAGGGGTTGGATTCAACTAACCCAGTGAAATGCTGAAGCCAGCATAAGGACTCCCAGTAGCTCAGTGGGGTTTCCCCCCTCTCCTCCCCACACTGCTCCCCCAAATCTGCTTTGGGGTGTCAGGAAAACCTCCATAATAACACATGGAAGGAGTCTTAAGGGAGACTGTTCTGTCTGGCAAGCAGAAATACTGGTGCTGAAGGAACAATTGTATTAATGCAGTGTTGAATTCCATCCTAGGACTAGTGTGGATGTCCTAGGACTAGTGTGGATGTGAAGAATCTACTGTGGTCAACTTGAAAAGGCAGAAGGAGAGATACTAAAGGTAGCAGGCATATCAGTTTATGCTGTGTATGATTTTGCAAGAGGGGCAACACTAACTAGGTTTACAACTTGCAGCCTGAAACTATGCTAAGTTCAGTATGTCTGAGCACATTGAAATCAAGGGACAAGCCGACCTTATCATTAGGAACTGAAATTGGCACCACATTCTTAGCCATTCTTCCTTTTCCTGGGGAAAACACAATCATTGTGAACCACATTGATATTCCACATGCCACTCATCCTTTGACTACATACCATTCTCAACATTTGCCAATCGATGCAGAAGTGGTAACCAGACCAGGCATTGTGGTGGAGGATCAGACATGAGAGTGTCCAAAAAAGCATTCAGTGTGACTTTTTTCTGTTTACATGAACAAAGCAGAAACAATTTAGCATTGGAAGCTGAAAGGAGAATTTTACTTTCCTCATGGGTCACACGCGCATGGGTGAAATAATTAAGCAGATACATTTCAATATCTTAAACAGGGGAAGGGAACTCTTTTCAGCCCGAGATGCATTCTTTTCCGGGCAACCATCTGAGGCAACCTTTAAGTGATAGGCAGGATCTGGAGCAAAAGTGAGCAAACAACAGATGTAATTTCATCTCTGTACAGTAGGCTAGCTTCTACACATACTTCAACGGCCCTCTCTGTTCTCCACCCAGACATTATCAGAGGTCAAAGACACAATGAAGGAGTAAAGCAGAGCCAATTGAAGGGCATGGCCCAGGAAGAGTTCTGAGGGACACCAAGTCATGGGTGTAGCCAGGATTTTTATGTGGGGGGGGCAGGACTTTGTTAGGGGGGCAGAACCAATGTGATTGGTCAGTTAGTTAAGTATTTCTATTGTTTTACTTGATGGGGGTCAGCTGTCCCCCTTGCCTCTTCATGGCAACACCCATGCATCAAGTCTATATTGCTACAAGGGGGATTTGCTCTGTTGTAATTCAAAGGCAAGAAGCTTTGTATGGTAGTTGATCCAGGCTGTGAGTATCTGTCAGCCAGCCATTTGGGAGCCTTTTGAAAAGGAGTAGGGGAGATCAGGGGCAGTGTTGTAGTCCTGGAACCATCTTGTAAGTACTTGTATTTTTTAAAAATGGCATTATTTGAAGACTTTAAAGGGTTTTCCATTTAAATCTGCACATAAACAGGATGGGCTGGACGTAGTCCTGTGTCCATGTAGAACTGGGAAGGACCAAACCTCAGTGCATACCTAGTCCCAATATTGCTCATCTCTATAATACTGGAGGCAATAGTTTATTGGTCTATAAATCTAATATCATTGTTATCATAACCAGTGCTATTTTTCTAGAAAAAGATGTGCCTGAGTTCACCATGAACATCTCCCAGTGGTGCCCACCTGAGAGCTGAGCCCTAATCATAATCCATACTTATGTAGGAGCATTTTGGAAAACAATACAGGGGCTTCTCCTCCTCCTCCTCCTCCTCCTGCTGCTGCTGCTGCTGTGAACCAATTCATAGCTACCCTACAGCATCTTGTTAGTATTTTTTCCAAATCATATTAGGTGATCGTTCACACATCTTCCAAGTCATATCTAATTTGGTTCTTAAACAAAATACAGTTCTCTTCTGGTTTACAATTGCCAAAGTGTCCAGTACACAATCTACAGTATAAACAAATAAAAAGCACATAACATTTTGTCACTGCATGTCATTATGGGAAGGGCGAAAAGGAGGCACTGAATGTTTTCATCTACCTGTTGAGAAAAACAGGATTTTGCTGACTGCTCTGTGTATCCAAAAGAAGGACCTTCAAAGACTGCCGTGGGTAGTTTAAGGACTTCTCGCAGAAACATGTCATATTTACCATAAACCATTACACCGCTGGTGTCTGAAATCATTGAGAAAATATCTGATGGAATAAAGAGGGAAAATATGAAATGGTTTATTTGGTTTAAGCCACTAGTTACAAATCTAACAGTGTTTCTTTTCAAATGAAAATAATAATTAGAGTTATCCCCTTTTTTTATATTGCAAAAGTAGGGATACGCCTTTGTTAGGACTCACTAAAGGGAGTAAGCAAGCACTTTTCTAATGCTCAAAATTCTTTTCTAGTTTTAGGGAAAAAATGATGCAAATCAGAAAAAAATGGTAATTTAGCATGATAAAAGAGATCCAAAGTACAAAATGCAAACTTCTTGCCCCTGGAGCAACTTTTTACTTCAAATAATGATAATGGTGATGATTTATTAAATTTATATACCACCCTGTATCTGAAGATCACTAGGTAGCTTACAGTATAAAAATACAAAATACATAACAAAACAATAACCTTCCCCTCAACACACTTAAAAGGCCTGTGTGAAGAGGAATGTTCTCACCTGGGACCTCAAGTTATGTAAGGTGCCAGCCAGCCTCCCTAGGGAGAGCATTCCATAAATAGGGAGCCCATTCTCCTGTTGCCACCCTCTGAACCTCTTGTGGAGGAGGAACACGAAGAAGAGCCTCAGATTACTATCACAGGGTCTGGTTTGGTTCAAATGGGGAGAGGTGGTCCATGATCTGGGAACTGAGTATTTAGATATGGGTGGTTAACCTGTGGCCTACCAGAAATTGTTGGACTCCAGTTCCCATCATCCCTAACCTCTGGTCATGCCAGCTGGGACTGATGAGAGTTGATGTCCTACAACACCTGGAGGGCCACAGGTAGGCAACCTTGATTTGGATTATTGGAGAACTGGGTATTTGTGTGCACGCTTTAAAATATTCAATGCCTTATAAAGGGTGATTTCACTTCAGACAATAAAGTTGTGTCTGTTCCTCTTGTGTGTTATGTGTTTGGATCTATGAATGGATTACCGTATTTTTCGCACGATTGGACGCACCGGACCATAGGACGCACCTAGTTTTTTTGGGGGGAAATAAAGGAAAAAAATTTCCTCTTTATTTCCCCCCCAAAAGCAGGTCAGGGAAACCGAACCAGGTCGAGGAACAGCGGGATAGTGGCGCTGCGCCTCCCTGCTGTCCCCCGAGCTTGTGGGGCTGGCTGATGTCTGCCTGGCGCGCGGGGCGCTCTGCTTTAGGGCGCCCCACCCGCCGGGCGGCAGGCTGCTATCCGCAGCGTGGGGAGCCCTGCAGGGAACTCCTGCAAGGCTCCCCACGCTGCGGATGTCTGCCCGGCGAGAGGGGCGCTCTGCTTCAGGGCGCCCCACCCGCCAGGCAGCAGGCTGCTATCCGCAGCGTGGGGAGCCCTGTGGGGAATTCCTGCAAGGCTCCCCACGCTGCGGATGTGTTCCCGAAGCGCCTGGAGCTCTGCTTTCAGGGCGCCCGACGCTCCGGGAAGCAGGCTGCTATCCGCAGCCTAGACACGGCTAGCGGAGCGCTAATCCCGAAGCTTGGGGCGTGCGGAGCTCAGCGCGCCCCAAGCTTCTGGGCGCCGGCAAGGTCTCCGCTAGCCTAGCCTAGCGGAGACCTTGCTGGCGCCCAGAAGCTTGGGGCGCGCTGAGCTCCGCACGCCCCAAGCTTCGGGATTAGCACGGCGCTTCGCTAGCCCTGGGAGAGCCCCGCGACGTCGCGGGGCTCTTCCAGGGCTAGCGAGACCTTGCCGGCACCCAGAAGCTTGGGGCGCGCTGAGCTCCGCACGCCCCAAGCTTCGGGATTAGGCGGCGCTTCGCTAGCCCTGGGAGAGCCACGCAACGTCGCGGGGCTCTCCCAGGGCTAGCGAGACCTTGCCGGCACCCAGAAACTTGGGGCACGCTGAGCTCCGCACGCCCCAAGCTTCGGGATTAGCGCGGCGCTTCGCTAGCCCTGGGAGAGCCGCGCGACGTCGCGGGGCTCTCCCACGGCTAGCGGAGACCTTTCCGGCACCCAGAAGCTTGGGGCGCGCTGAGCTCCGCACGCCCCAAGCTTCGGGATTAATGCAGCACTCCGCTAGCCGTGGGAGAGCTGGGTCTCCCACGGCTAGCGGATAGCTTCCTGAAGCCTGGAGAGCAAGAGGGGTCGGTGCGCACCGACCCCTCTCACTCTCCAGGCTTCAGCGAAAGCCTGCATTCGCTCCATAGGACGCACACACATTTTCCCTTGCTTTTTAGGAGGGAAAAAGTGCGTCCTATGGTGCGAAAAATACGGTAATTTAATCCATATTGGTTTTAACTAGGGCTGCAACCTGATTAAAGAAGCTTTAATTGATCAATCTTTCTAATACATATGCATGTTTCCCAAAGATTTTGCTAACTGCGTTTCTGCTCTTGCTTTCTGAGTCAAAGAGCAATTCTTTAAAATTGTTAAATGCTTTACAGATGTTGACTGTGCAAAACTTAAACAGAAAACTGCTTGTAGCAGAAAACACTGTTAGTTCATTTCAAACTTGGGCCTGGCTGCCAATTCAGTGGTGTCCTGTTGTTTTAGTATAATAGAATCAAAGAACCGTAGAGCTGGAAGGGACCCCAAGAAGAAGAAGAGTTTGTATTTGATATCCCGCTTTATCACTATCCTAAGAAGTCTCAAAGCAGCTAACATTCTCCTTTCCCTTCCTCCCCCACAACAAACACTCTGTGAGGTGAGTGGGGCTGAGAGACTTCAAAGAAGTGTGACTGGCCCAAGGTCACTCAGCAGCTGCATGCGGAGGAGCGGAGCCGCGAACCCGGTTCACCAGATTACGAGTCTACTGCTCTTAACCACTACACCACACTGGCTCTCATCCCAAGGGTCATCTAGTCCAATCCCCTACAATGAAGGAATCTCAGCAAACAGTCTCCCATCTAATTTGAAACCATACTGGACCCTGCTTAGCTTTGCAAATGTGCTAGCAGTTTTATTGCTGGGGGACTTTGTACTCTGCATTGTTTAGTAGAGTAGCTCTTTGGGTCTTGATTCATATCACTATTATCTAAACCAAATTCCGGTTCTATTCCATATTGAAAGGAAAGGAACAACATTAATAAAATATAAACAATAGAGGACAAAGACTTACATCTCAATTTGTCCATGATCTTTCCTCCACAAAGTGTTGCCAAGGCCATTTTGACAGCAAAGACAGACATTTTTCCATGTCCTTCTCTATACAGAAACAAGAAAACAAATATGATGACATCAATATGGCAATATTTTTGCACTGCTGTTGAATTATGCCATACAAATATTCTTATGCTTGGAAATTAAAATTTTGTAAACAATCATAAAACTTTTTAAAAGAATACAAGAGAAAACAAGCTATTTATTGTAGTTCCGATTTGAACAGTGGTTATCTGAATGTTGTACGGTAAAAACAGTTTAAAAAGATAAAGCTGGAGAAATGAATCAAATATAACAATTATAGCACAACACTAGATTCCATCATAACCAGAACACGAAACGTTGCCCAATGTAGTCTGCTCAGGCTCTGGCAGGGAAGAAGGCTCTAGCCAGCACTTCTCTGTTTCCCCACCCCCCTTCTTTTCCTGGGCAGTTGTGTGTGTTCCCTGAAGATTTCCCCTCATATTAATCCCAATGGAGAGAATATAAGTATACCTAATGTACTCCCCCCCCCCCCAATTCTGGGTGTGTGTCAGGAGCCTGGAAGGGTTTTTGATCTGGGTGATCAAGAAGTTAACAGCTTTCACTTAACCCCCACCCCCAAAAAACCTTTTATTTATGCAATTTTAACAGCTTCTATACACACATCGTACAGTATCCATCTCTTTTCCTAAGACTTCCCAATCCATCTCTCTGTTGCATTCTAGGGAAATCAGCTGCATATCCTGATATTTCACCCATTATCATCTCAAGTCTCCCTTTTTGATGTTATCTGCTGCTCATATATTAACTCCTACTTGTAGGTTAAATCGTATATTGTACCCTCTAAGATAATCTCCAAAACACCTCCACTCTTCTCTTTAACTTACCTTATTTCTTAGTTTTGTGGTCATGGTACTAATTCTATATATTCTATCAATTTGTTCTGCCAAATTTCCTTCGTGGGTATCTCTTCTTTCCAATTTTTCGCATATACTATTCTAGCTGCAGCAGTCATGTACAAAAAGATATTGAGTGCCTTTTTTGGAATGTCGTCACCTATTATCCCTAACAGAAAGGCCTCCAGTCTTTTGGGAAATGTGAGTTTTAGAATCTTTTTTAATTCTGTGTGAATCATTTCTCAATACTCTCTAGCATATTTACATGAACACCACATATGAATCAGGGTTCCCTCCACCTTGTGGCACTTTTTAAAAATGTAATAATGGTAGGGAGAAACAACTTTATTGTTTGAAGTCAATGGATTTTTATTTTTTTTTAAAGTGTGACCTATGGCAATTGTACAAATTTAATGGTTCCTTCTTCAGTAAGGGGATGAATTGTGAATAGCAGATAAGTAAGTTTTCTCTGTATCCCAAATGGAATGGCATTTTCCATAGCTGAATACTTCTGAGAAGAGAAGGTATGAAAGGAATATTTTCCATTTTTAAAAAAAATATTGCAGTTTGACTTGATAGATTTGGACACCGTATTTCATCTGAGTCATTTATATTCATACATCTCTACCTAGACTCAGCGTAAATTCAATTTCCCCATGAAAATATGTATTGACATGGCTTGTGACTAGGTGAGATAAATGGGCACCTTGGCATTTAGGTGCCCCTAGGGTCTGGCAATTATCAAAGCAGCTCTGTTGTACAATGAAACTCCTTTATCATAGTAGTTTTTAAAGTTTTCATGAGTAAAATATGGCTGCTTAAAAGCAAGTATTCTGCCTTGTGACAGCTGCTGGTGAAGATGCTCAGTGAAGGGATCATTGTTGTGAAGTCATAAACGGGGAGAAAAGCGTCAGAGTGTGTTGAAACTAAAGGTGAAATGTTCCAGAAGACCCTGGGATGCTGGGCTCTTGGCCCAGAGAGAAGAGCTATCTGTAAGCTTTGGATAGTAGCCATCTATGGCCTCACCGGTCAGGTGAATTGATGGGCCAAACTGAAGTAGGCTGCTTTGTGTAGAAAGAATGCCTAAACATTTGCTTGGGTGTGGACAAGTAATGGTGACTTCCCACTGTTGCAGTGTTTGCCCTGCGTCTGCCAAGGCAGTGTGGCTCTGCTAGCAGTTTACAATTTCTTATAAGCATTAGAATGAATCACTCTGGTGTTTTTGACATCCCTGCACTAAACCACTCCCGCAAGCCCATGGGCTAGTGGAGCAGGGCACAGAGGCAGAAAATAAACGAAGAAGTCAACTGCGTTACTTGTAGAGATGGAGAAAATATTTCTAGTTAAATGTTACTCAGTTCTCTACAAGAATGAACAACACTCAAAGAACCAACTGTGCCATCAGAGAAATATATTGTGGTGCTCATCCAGCCAACAATTGTATATGCAGTTGGGTAGTAGACTGATCAACAACTTCACTTGTCAAAACATGATCACACTGATTTTAACAATCATAAGAGATGTACAGAAAACTCGTGCTTATTACATGAACGGCAGCATTCCTCTGTACTGGCCATGGGCTGTTGTAAAGGCATCAGAAGGACTTATGAAGCGAACAGAATAAAGGGCTGAGAATCCCCTTGTAATTCTCTTTCACGCTGTACTTGTCTGCAAAAGTGAGGAGGTAGGGAACTGCCCTTTGCTCTCCTGCCTCTAACGCATATGAAACATCAGTAAAAGACCTGAGGCCACCGGGTACTCCAGCTGTCCAATGCCAATAGTACTACTCTATACCATATTAGCCAGAGGCTATCACAAAACAAAATCTATAGCATATGACTAAAACCCTGTGCATGCTTTTGCATACTCTATCAGAGCCAATAGCACTTCCAAGCTGATTTAACAAAACCTCACCTAGATTTCCCTTCGGAAATAAGCTGTATTATTCTCCATAAGAGTAGGTGAGAGTTTAAAAATAATGATGAATGAGCCACCCCCTTATGTGTATTTTATTTATACTATTCTGTTAATATATTTTGAAAAATGTATTTTACTGAGCAGAGCGTGCGTGCCATGAACATAGGAAGAGGTATGTGTGTGTGTGTTTTAATGGCATGAATGCAGCAGATAATCAAAGCTGTAAGTGGGTTGCAACAAAAAAGATGAGCAGGTGGCCTCCCCACTCCCTAGCATTACTTAATGTTGCCCTGTCCCATTTATAAAACAGTTTAATATATTTCAGGGCAAAAATAAGGAGTCTGGTTTAAAAGGAAGCAAGCAGAAATCCCTGTCTCTCTGCACATGCAATTGCTGTGATTGCTGAGAAAAAGAACTGAGTGACAAGCTGCGTCAGGGAACCAAACTAGATGTGATCAGAAGAAAATGCCTTCATTTGCACCTCTTGGTAGAAATCAAAGACCCTATACTCTGACCTCGGAAAAGCCTTCTTTACACACACCTTTGATTTGTGGGCCTTCACCAAATGTATTTCCAATGAGTTCCCTGCAATTATGAGTACAGTTTGTCTATTTAAAAGATTTCCATCCTGCCTTGCAGCAAAAGACACTCGGATATTTCCTTACAACTTGACTTTAAGGCTCTTGTTAGGATTGCTCACTCTGATTGCTCTGGGATAAAATGGCGGCCGCTACTAATTTGCTGGCAGCCCATTGGGATAATATGATTAACATGATGACATTACAATGTCATATAACTAAGTATATCTATGAAGCCAATTCATGGTGAGACCAGTGTTTCCTGCTCTCACTGTGAATAGGCTACATGATAACTGCTGTTATTGGCATCCTTCTGTCTTGGGAGACAATGGAGGAGTATGCATTTGGGGGTAAAGTGAAACCATTGGAGAGTTACAGTGCCTGCTGTGGCTGTAGAGACCAATATGGGGAAGACATGCTTTGTTGCAGACGAAGGCATCCAGATGCAGATAACACAGGCAGTCATATTTAGCTAAGGGAGCTGCTTTGCTATATGTAATTCCCTGGGAAGAAGCCCCATTGAACTCAGTGGGGCCTAAGCATGAGTAGATAGGCACAGGCCTGCACTGTTAATATAACTCAAACCTTCAATCCAAAATTGCTAAGCTACATCTTAAGTAGCAACAAGAATGGAAACTCTGTTAACATTTCTATGGTCATTCCACTTGACTGAGTCTTTAATATTTTGCCACACCAGGCGACATTAATAAAATGCATTTCCTGACCAGAACTCCTGGGATTCTTCATCCATCCTATCAGGCTATATGGCTCATTGAGGCTCACATTTAGGATTTCTGATTACCCCTCTATTAATTCAATCACAAATTTGAAGCACTATGTCAGCATAGTGAGGACAGCTCTGATTTACAGTACTTGAAATGAAAGCAGTTGCTATTTTAGAACAATTTGCATTTTTGGATATACTCCAGGTCCTACAATTACCTAGCTACCAAAAGTGTATAGAATAATTGTTGAGCACATTCTATGTGAGAGCAGTACTGTGTTCAGTGGCGTAGCGTGGGGGGTGCAGGCCGCACCGGGCGCAACATCTGGGGTTAGGGCAAATCCACAGGTTAGGGGGCGCAAATCCACGGGTTAGGGGGCGCAAATCCATGGGTTAGGGGGCGCAAATTACTTGCCTTGCCCCGGGTGCTGACAACCCACGCTACGCCACTGACTGTGTTAACACAGATCACCCCATCATTTACAAAAGCAATACTTTTTCAGTCCTTCCTCTGCGGGATGGTGTTTTGTATGCATCTTCAAAGCCTTGCAGTGCTAAACTCCAGAAACAAAATGGGTATTACGAATGATCTCATTTTCACGGTGATGGTTTTGTTGGGAGGGAGGGAGACTTACAGGCAGTGGGCAGCAAAACATGTGCCCAGGCATTCTCAGTTGGTTTCTTCCCTGTTCTTGTGAAGAGTCAAGAATTCAGGCTTTACTGTTACTTCTTTTTTTAAAAGAGCTTCCGTCTTGTTGTGGAATCTTTTCCAAACACTGAAGGCCAGAGTTTCACAGCCTACTGACAATTTCTCCTTGGAGAGGGCAGGAGAGCTGGTTGGATACAGGCACACAGTGCCTCTGCTACTTTGTCATGTGGAACGGTTGCTCCCTCCCACCTCACCCCAGGTGTTGCCATGGTGACTAAGCTGTACCAGTTGATCTGACTCTGGAAGGTACACAATGCCAAGCAAGAACTCCATCAAGTGTGTGCTGAGGAGGAGGGCGAGAGGGGGTTGGGTAGGCAAGCGGGAACACAAGGCAACTTATTTTAATGGTACTTTAATAGTGTGGATTTCCAACCAGTGCATTTTCATAATAGAAAACAGTAATGAGGTAATAGATAATTTGCACCTGTCGAAGCACAAAGCTGATCCCAGTCAATCCAGTTTGTAATTTCAGGCTATTCAGATGCTTTTAAGAATGCCAATAACATGCTGATGGATCCTATGTTCAATTACCGTAATTTACATATATACACAGAACACTCATCTGTAACATGACATTAGGGATGTCTCTTCCCTATAAATTCACATTTGTTTGGTTGTCTCCACCTCCCCATGGCCTTCAAATGCAAGGTTTCAGGCAGTAGTAATAACATGAATTCTATTGCCATTTTTTTCTGTTGCAATCTCAGTTTGCTACATTAACAAGGAAAAGGGGGGAAATTGCTCACAGCTGCCTAAGCTTGCAGCAAAAAGAGTTTCCTTCAAACAATAAGCCACTAACCCCATGCCACTGCTACAGAATAAACACTGCTGCAGATGTTTCCACCAGCAATAATAATACCCAAAGAATGGAACATTTTTGCATTTTGAAGTGTTCTTGGGGCCAAACTCGATGTTACATGCACATTACTGCAATGGCCCTTTTGGTAAAGCTGTGAGTGTGTGTGTGCGTGTGTGCGCATGTGTGTGTGTGTGTGTGTGTGTGTGTGTGTGTGAGAGAGAGAGAGAGAGAGAGAGAGAAGACAATGGTGGGGAGGGAAAGATTTATGCATTCCCTCCAACTCCCACTTCTCCAATCCCTAAGGCAACAAGGTAATATTGCACACATCTACATGTGTAACATATAGCCTTTATGGTCATAATTAAGAAAGTTCTGAACAACAGTAATTCGGGAATTTCACTTTGTCCAAGGCCAAGGTCAAACCAATATTTCACTTTGGTACTATTTTTCTGTGTAAAGATTAAAATCAATAACATTAGAAGGAAAACTTACGGATCAAAAGCTGCCAGCAGGAAGTTGAGTAGCAAGCTGATGGATTGCTCTATGTTGATCTGGTGGGTAGTTGGCATGCGTTTGTTCAGTTGGTAAAAAACGGTGGACAGGACAGCTTCAATTCGAGCCACATTCAGTTCTATGTTCGGATCCAGGTTGTTCAATGAATTTTCCCGCAATGCTTCTATTACATTCCAAATATCCACTAAGTGCACTATGTAGGATGCAAGATAGTACTAACAATCAGATAAATGCCCACAAAAGAGACAGAAAATAATCCTATCTTAGGTTATAACATTTTGACAGATAGATAAAATATATACTTAGATCTGCTTGAAATGACACCTTCTCCCCCCACCGCTGGTTTGTGAGTGGGGCTTCATTTTGTTTTTGTTTTTTTGTGGGGGTGTACAAAATTGTTTCAAGGGAAATTGGTGGAGTGAAACAATTTGGAGTGGCTTCCTTTTGCTTTTCCCATGATACCATGTTTACAGGTATAAGTTTGGGTAAAAATCAAAATAGCAGTCCTGTGTCCACTGACATGCATGTGGGGGAAGCAAAGGCTACACCCCCCAAAAGAGCTCACCCTTGCCATGGGCTTTTGGGACAAAAGGGTCCTCAGCAGAGGATGGGTTTCCTCCCCCAAGCCATTTTTGGAGGGATAGTCTTTCTCTGTCCCCCGAACCAATGCACAGCAAGGGAATCAGTGATGTCTTCTGTGCTTTCCATATGGAAGAAAAAAGGTGCACCCTGAAAATGGCTGGCTTAAGGGAAAAGCTCACCCCTTACCAATGACGCATGGGGGCCACAGACTCCTTGATGGGGTTTTTTAGGGAGCCAGCAGCAGTAAGGGGAGGCAAGAGGAGGAGATGCAACAACTCTAAAAAATAAAATCATTTGCCCACCAAAACATTGTCATTTTTATACACAAAGGAAACAGGTCTCATTTTCAGGTGCTCATTTCATTAGACCAGAATGGAATTAAAAAGAAAATACAACTACAGGTGGTTGGATACATATTTATAGAGAACTATAAGGCCAAATATATTTTATAAAGCAAAAAGAAGAAAAAGAAAGGCACAAGGAGATTTTTGTTTTCAATTTTGAAGCTTTGTGTAGCTTTTGGACCTAGAAGCTGACAGTCTAGTCCCAACAGGCTGCTCCAGCACTGATTGGCTCTCTCCAACATTCCATTTAACGTCCATCAACTTCCACACAAGCTACTTTGACATGTGGCAAACCCTTTGAGATGACCTGAATTCCAAGACATTTGGTGATTCAGGACTGCAGTATACTAGAAGCCCTTTTGATCTCATGCATGAAATTAGTAGAATCCGTATATAAAAAGGTAAAGGACCCCTGACAGTTAAGTCAAGTCGCGAACGACTCCAGGGTTGCAGCGCTCATCTCGCTTTACTGGCCAAGGGAGCTGACATTTGTCCGCAGACAGTTTTTCCGGGTCATGTGGTCAGCATGACTAAGCTGCTTCTGGTGAAACCAGAGCAGCGCACAGAAATGCCGTTTACCTTCCTGCTGGAGTGGTGCCTATTTATCTACTTGCACTTTGACGTGCTTTCAAACTGCTAGGTTGGCAGGAGCTGGGACCGAGCAATGGGAGCTCACCCCATCATGGGGATTCGAACCACCAACCTTCTGATCAGCAATCCCAAGGCTCAGTGGTTTAGACCACAGCGCCACCCGTGTCCCATAATCCACATATCTATCTATCTATCTATCTATCTATCTATCTATCTATCTATCTATCATCTCCAAATACAATATACCACACAGGGCAAGGAAGCACAAACAAATTATGACACATAAATTATATGAAGCAATCTCCTGACTTTTCATTTTATTTTAAAGCAGTTTGGGGAAGGTGACATTGACTGGAAGGGCTCTGCTAGGGAAGAGGTTTTTAACCTTCCACAGCATCATTTGTCTAAATCTAAATCACACACACCCTGATTCTGTTAGTCACGCTGAGGTCGTGGGGGAAGGAAAAGAGGTCAAGTAACTGTATTTATTTCTAAAACAGTTATATACTGCTATATCAGAAGAAGAAGAAATATCAAAGCGATTTACAGCAATAAACATACAATAACAAATCATGTATTCAAAAGTTAAAAACAGACCTCATTTAACCATTGTGGAAAGATACATTCTTAATTGCCTGGCAGAATAAAAAAGTTTTCAGTAGGCGTTTAAAATTTGACCCAGAAGGCGCATGCTGGATCTCTATTGGCAAAAAATCCCACAAGCCTGGTGCCTGTGTTCTGCACCCCCACCCCACCCAGGAGTGCTAACAATGGCTTTGTGGAGGGAGATAATTTGTAAGGATGCATTAACATCTCTGTGTTCAAGCTTAAAAACAATCAGGCTTTTGCAAACATTTCCTTTGGATACTCGACATCTCAAGGGTTTTTGCAAGTAATCAATAAAAAAAATCTTGCAAAACCCAGATATGTCTATTGAAATAAATGAAGACACAACAGAAAACCTTTGGGCCAATAGATGCCCCTCACCAGTCATTTTGGGCATGCAGCCTTTTAAAAATCTGTCTACTGAATAGAACACGGAAGGTCTCCCTTAGTTCTCTCTTGCCCCAAGGGTTTCCAGTGGTGGATTGTATTTTGCTGCAGGCTCTTTAAACTCTGCTTACTGAATAAATAAACTGAGACTTCAAACTTGTTTTGTTCTCTCCCATCTTGTTAATGAGAACACTTTAAATGGTAAGGAAAACCCAACTGAATATGGCACAGCCTCTAAAGAAGCTCACAAAAGTTACCAGCCTGTAAAAAGAATTGAGCGGCCTCTTTATGGACAGAACAGAATTGCAAATGGTTACTTAGCAGTTGGGTCTCTTTTTATTCACTGGGCCTAATCTCGCTGCAGAACTGAAGCGGGGTGCTGCCTGCTCAGTCATCGCCATATACATCACAGCTGTTGCAAAGCATTATAAACAAAGGGGGGGATAGGCAGTCTGTCAGACCTTATTCTTGAAGCCCCCCCCCAATATTCTTGCCTGCATACAATTTCTTGTCACCATGGCTATCCTGTATGAACCTCTCCCAGACCTTTAGGCCATCACTGGTGGTCCTCTTCTAGGTACCCCCCTCTGGCAAAGGTGCAGAGGGTGGTGGCGTTGGAGAGCGCAAGCAGACACTGGAGGAGGAGGAGGAGGAAGAGGCAGCTCCTGAGCCCAAGCCTAGCACAGGCTCACAACTTTACATTATGTCTAGATTTGGCCTATGCTTTTGTGACATGGGAGAAACTGAGGTTCTCGTAACATTTGGATTTTAAAAAATACTCTGCTTATACTGTATATTGGTTAGAAACATGCTTCTTCCCCAACTGCTTTTGGGTAAGGGAAACCAGTCAGATCTTGAAACGATCAGATAATTGATATAAAGAATTACTCTTTAAGTCAGCATCTCACACTTTAGCATTATCCAAATCTCATGCTGCTTCTATTGAATCTCTTGTTGTAAATTGCTATCATCTGTGACTGCTGTAATGAAAACTAATTTTGGCTGGCTGAGCTCTTGCTCATTGTAACTATCTACAAATTGTGAGTTGTGTTGTCCACCCCATTATGCATTGCGTTGTAACATTTTTTTCTTAGGGACTACGGCCAATATGGAACTCAAACTCAACTGAACTGTTCGCCTAACAGGAATTATATGGCATAGTCTGGTGAACTTTGGGGTGGATTTTTACTAGCCAGCTCCTATTCATTTATCATACAATGCCTCTAACTAAATATAAGATACAATCCAAATGAATGAATGAATGAATGAGCTACTGCATTACTGTTTCATACACAATCCTCAAAAGATTTACCGTATGTCGGAAGAGATTACAAAGAATCTTCCTTTCAAGGGCCTGTTCACATCTTACACCTGAGAATGAAAGAAGCTACAGAAACTTAGCAGTTACCTTTTACACGCTTCCTGCAATCTCTCCACTGTACAGAAGAGGGCATATATTTGGTTAGAAAACAGTAATTACATCAGAAGAAGGAGAAATCTGATTATCAACACAACTTCCTTTTATTCTCTTAAAAATTAATTCAACCCACCCACAATGTTATACAGAAATGCACCTAATGCGGGAATAAAAGGGGGACGGCGAGAGACAATGAATATTTGCTTGCCTGCCCTGTAGGTTGATCCTTCCAGTTTGATTTAGCTGCTGCACAGCACAGACAAGATTCTGTGCAGTTCTGTTGCTCAGCTTCTAACCATTGGGCAGAGCCACACAGATCCTGCACCCTGCAGGAAGCAAACCTTGCTGCTAGGAAAGACCAGCTGCAAGGAAAGACTGGCTTTTTTTTCACCCTAGCAACCTACTGGTTGCTAGGATGCCCTACTGTGATGCAATTCATAGTATGATGTCTTTTCAGTCTCACTAGTATGTCACAAACATTCCTAAAGTGTAAGATCTCTCTCTCTCTCTCTCTCTCTCTCTCTCTCTCTCTCTGTGTGTGTGTGTGTGTGAGAGAGAGAGAGAGAGAGCGCCTCTTCAAACCCTAACCACTTTCTTCCTATATGAACTCTTAGCAGGTGGTCAATAGGACCATGGTAGGACAGCAGAGCATGGTATAGAATTGTAGAGTTAGAAGGGACCCTGAGAACCATCTAGTTCAACCCCTTGCATTGTAAGAATATTTGGAGATGGGAAACCCAGTTGACATCAGGCCTTGCTTGATGAAAACCATCCCTTTCAATCTTTTTTCCAGGAGGTCTTGTAAACCTAGATTCAAGTGTTTTCCCTACTTGCTGGCGAGCATGGGCATAGCCAAGGGGGGCAGGGAGGGGTAGCTGCCCCCAATCAATAAAAATGAGTAAAAGTACATGGCTAACCGAGGTTCTGCCCCCCTAACAAAAGGCCTGTCCCCCGCCCCAATCCTGGCTACACCTACGCTGGTGACAGGGGGTTGTGCTTTCCCTGCTGCTGGAGCCACTTCCCCTTTAACATTTTTACCCATAAGATATCACAGTGAAGGCAGCAAGCATTGCACTTACCCCAAATCGGCTTTGTGATTATGCCACACAGGCAGTGAGATTTGACTAGGCAATGATGGCGGCCAAGCCCAAAGCTGAGCAAAAGCAAATATTCCTGCCCTCACTCCAGGCTTATGTCTTAGGGGTAAATGTTACACAGCAGTAGAAACATGTGTGCAAATGCACTATCACCACCACCTCAAAGACC